AAAAGAGTAATATATATATATATATATATATCAAGACTTAACTTATACTGGAATCAATGAAATTTCATTCATAAAAATATATATATTTAAAAGATACAGACTTTTATTTACTATGGACCATAAATGATGACATGAATAGCAAGCCATACTTTAAAGCACATGACAAACCATTATCTCAAAAATCATGCAGAACTGGGTTCATTAGCTGACATTAAAAACATATAGGTGAGGGATAACATAATCACAACAATGTGTTAAAAAAAAAACTTTAAAAACGACTTACAGCGTGGATTACAAGCCTTGAACAGGAGGAATTAAAAAAACCTTGCCTGGAGAGTATCATGGCGGCATAAACACAGAAAATTAAGTCGTACTTAAACACATTCCCTAATGATTTGAGAAAAATCACTGTCTTTCATGTGTGTATTTTTTTTTTAATTGGACATGGGGGGAGAGAGAAAGTCTATAAATTATTTTTGTTGTTGTTATAATAAATAAATAATATGAGTTGACAAAAAAAAAAAAAAAAAAAAAAAAAAAAATAAGTGTTTATGAGTTTAGCAAAAAAAAAAAAAAAAAAAAAACAGTGACCTCTGGTGTTTATTATACGTTTCTTTTTATAACCGTGTATCAAAAAAGGTATCTTTTCGTAAAATTTGGGTTGGCCCTTAAAAGGGCCGTTGTTGATTTTTTTTCTTCAGGGTTTACTCCCTGGGACTTGGTCCTTAAAAGGACCGTTGTTGTTTTTTTTTTTCCTGTTCAGGGTTTACTCCCTGGGACGTCGCCCTCGTCCACGGCCTGTTGAAATTCCATTGTCTGGTGTTGTTCCTTCGATCGTCACTCCACGGCCTCGGCCCACCCTGGGTGTCGAGGGACGACGGGTAGGAGGGGTGGGAGGAAGGGGCTCCGGGGTCCCATAGCGACAGAGGGGGCAGCCCTCTCCCCGGTCTATCAGGCGGGCCGCACAGAGAAAGCAAGCCGGCCTCTGGCGGCACCGACCGCACAGGAAGTTTGATAACTCATCCTCGCAAAGGCAGAGACAGCAGTAACCTTGTGCCACGGAAGCCTGGATTCCCCACAGCGGAATGCACCCCTGGAATACGGCTCGATCCTGGGGAGGTGATGCTGGCTGTGTCCCGTCGAGGAGGCGGTGGACTGCTGCTCCGGCCGGAGACGAAGGGGGGGACTCCGGACTGTCCGGCAGGCCGAAGTTCCTGCCCTCCTCCTCCGGCCGCGGATGGTAGACGGGGGGTGGTGGCTGCTCTCCTCTCCTTGCTGGCGAAGGCCTGTCATAGGGGGTGGCTCTGGCGGCTCTTCGGGCGATGTTACTTGCCACGAAAGTCCTGAGGTCTCCGACTCTGATCCTCCCCATGTTGAAGATGGCATACTCCTCCCCGGTGTCTTGGTTGCGCACCACCATCTGAAGAATAACCTCTACTCCCGGCTGAATGGCCACGTTCTCTGTAAAAATAGACATGTCGAGTTGTAGCTTGAACAGCTGGCTAACGAATGACAGTTAACAGCTGATCAGCGTCGGTATTTATACACACAGCGCGAGCCGAAAAGAGAGCACCCAAAAAGCCCGGATGAAGAAGAGCTCAGAAAATCATGGAAACATCAAAATTGTGTTATTTGTGTTTTGTGAATACCTCTATTGGAGTAAATAACATATTATGGGATCATATATACATTCAAACCTTCTAGTAAAAGAATGGAGGTAAGTTTGGAGAATGATTTCACAGTATTTTTCATACATGACATTGTTCCCTTGTTTAGAACAGGCTCATTCATGCCGAAGCGAAGGGCTAACCTTGACTGACCTGAATACATAAAATAAGTCGTTTTAGACTTTTGAGAGTGTAACACAAAGAAAACTTATGGCAGGCAATAAGATTGAACTTAGGGAAGAGTGTCTATATAGTTTTCAGATCAAAAGAATCGTTAGGAGTGTAAAAATAAAGGTAGCGTCGGTTTCGGGATAAACACAAGGGAGGTCAAAGGTCAGCCATTTTCAGAAAATCAATGTATAAGACTTTTGTATAGGGAATATAAGAATCTTTTCGATCCTGACCTTTTCAGATGAAAATTTTGAGATGAATAGAATCAGATTGGTTTAAAAACAAATTGTATACACTTTATTTGCAGTGGGAAAGTTTAGATTTTTATAAATAAGAACAAAACATCCCAGCGTCTAAATGTATAGACTTGTATAGGGAATATAAGATTCTTTTCGATCCCGACCTTTTCATATAAAAATTTTGAGATGAATAGAATCAGATTGGTCTAAAAACAAATTGTATACCCTTTATTTGCAGTGGGAAAGTTTAGATTTTTAAATAAACCAGGATTTTATAGACTCAGCGTCTAACGGATACATGATGACGTCATTACTAAACAACAACAACAATAACAAAAAGCTTATAGTGTCTTTTCATTCTTTTATTTTTCTTTTTTGGTTTAACAATTGTTCCAAATGTTGAATTCTGCGTTGAAATCTCATTCGATCGGCTACTAGAGCCATCCATTCACTTTTCCGATCTTCGGGTGGTAAATAATGAATTTCATTCAAGTCTGTATTAAAAGTCACACATTTCTTAGTCTCTCTGAAATTTCCAGATATTTCATCCCGTATTGAATGCATATTTTCTCCATCGATTCTATTTCCTGGTAGAGTAAAATCACTTTCCTTGCTTGGGGATGGCATAAAAAAGTGTAAGGCTTTCCTAGATAGTGGGTCAGGCTTAACCCATACCATTTCTGGGGAGAGTTTCTTTCATGCGTTGACATAGAAAATGCAGTGTAGCTAGTCTCCCCAGGTTGGGAGGATGTAACAGGGCCAGGCATTGTAACCATAAGTCTTGAATGGTTTCTATGATGGTAGTGGCTCTCTGAAACACTTGTTCTGCCTCGGGAGGAAGAGGTTGTTGGTGTTGTTCTATCCATTGCATTAACAAATCATAGCCTTTTAAAATCAAAGAGTGGTATTGCTTGGACATGACAATTGATTATGAACAGAAGACATGATATTTTGTCTTATTTATACCCCAGTTATTTTAATTTATTTTTAGACTTTGGAAAAACCAATAGACTTAAATTTTTTTTAAATTTTTTTTTTTTTTTTAAATCTATTTTTAGACTTTGGAAAAACCAATCTCACATCTCACATCTCAGGAATTTCCAGATCTCAGAACGTGCTGAGCGCGTGTGGGTTTTTCCAGGACCCCTTCCTTTTTAAAAAAAAGTATAAAAACCAGCGCAGAGAGTGTATGGGTCATCATTTTCAGTCAGAAGTCAGAGGTGTATACCATGGCACAAGCAATGATGAATACCAAAGACAACCCCAATTATGCGACACCTGAAGGCTATGTCATAGCCCCCATGCCAGAGACTCAGGATCCTGTAGGACTGGACTTGGGATTGTATAATTTCCCAGAGCCCATGACCAAAGAGGACTTTGGTATTTTAACCACCACGTTAGAGGGGATCGTCAACATGCTAAACCAGATGCAAGTGAATGCAAATAAGTTTGAAGAGAAAGTCATGAGTGAATTCGTTGACCTGAGAGAAATAATGGCCCAACTGGAGGATAAAGTGTGGAAAATAGAAGAAGAAAAAGGTAGAGAACCCACAGACACAGAAGCTCCAAAGAAAACCAGAGAGACCAACCCCTGTTTCATCTGCAAAGAGTTAGGACACTGGGCCCCTGAATGTCCCAACACAGACACAGAAGCTCCAAAGAAAACCAGAGAGACCAACCCCTGTTTCATCTGCAAAGAGTTAGGACACTGGGCCCCTGAATGTCCCAAGAAAGACCTATGCTACAAATGTGGAAAATTTGGACATTGGGCCGATAAGTGTGACCAAAACAAACTGTCTGAGAAGAAGAAGAAACCATCCAAGCCCAAGGAAAAAAAAAAGACGCAGGAAAACATGAGTCTCGGGGACAAACAGGGTGATTTATTAAACATTCCAGTAGAAGCTATTATACATCAGGAGAACAAAGAAAATCTGATTCCACTGGACCAGCCTAAGAAAAGAAAACACAAGGAAGAGGTCAAGAAGTCCCTGAAACTTCAAAAGAAGAATTGACTTTGTATTATACTTAAATAAAAAGAGCTTTTAAACTTTAACATTGACTTGTTTTTCTTTTTTAGAATAACAGCTGGAGATCAGCTGTGTTTTTAAAGTGTCAAAATTAAAGCAGCCAGAGAGGCGATGAAGGACTAGAATGACGTCATAATCAAGATTTGAATCACTGCCAAGTTTAGGGCTAGGTAGGATCTCACATGAATTTTTTTTTTCAGGCACTTTAAGGGCCTAAAAGTGCACTCCGTTGATCCGGCCATCCCCCCAGGGGCCCCAAAAGTGCACTCCGTTGACCCGGCCATCCCCCCAGGGGCCCCAAAAGTGCACTCAGTTGACCCCCCATCCCCCCAGGGCCCAAAAGTGCACTCAGTTGACCCGCCTAGCTAGGCTGCTTATACTACTAACCTGAAAGCTAGGGAGAAATTCATCTCTTTAGCTTGTTTGCATGTAATGTTTTAGCAAGCCTGTAACTATCTTATAAAAGAATTCAGAAAGAAAATAATGATATTTCCTATAATTTATCAATTATTTATTCTATAAAAAATATGCAAAAGACAATGTCTATTACCTATATTTCTTCATTCATGTAGTTTATTTTACATGTACGTCTCCTTTAAAATGGTTTCCTTGATGTCCACAATTTATACATATTTATAAGATTATAATTTATTTTCGAACTTTCACTATTGAAATTTTAATTGTTGTTTTAAGTGGATAATACTGTTAACATTAGAGAGCGATTTTTCATGCTAACATATACTTCTGACATCATCTTAAAAAGGGCCGGGGACCTATACATTTGTTAATGATTATAAATTATGTTAAACTTTCTGCTTCATCAAGATGATAATAACTTTATATGAAATAACGAATGTCCACATTATATAAATATATAGCATTTAATGATTTTTCAGAGTTACAATGGCGAATACAAAAGTCTAAATACCGGAATCGTGACGGTCAAAAACTATGGAGCCGAAGTAGCATCTGTTGTTACCCAAGTGACTTTCGCTCACGAAGTCGGACACAATTTCGGATCAGACGTAAGATTGTCATATTTTGTCTTTAAAGCTGAAGACAATTTGTATAAGGAATTTGTCCGCCAAATTTTTTTTTATTGAGTCGTTATATCTGAGGGCCCCTATATAACCCTTTCACTTAGTCACTGTTCAGTGTAATCAGTTGTCACCGATATAAACGGACGAATGCTATATACATGTAGCTATTGTTAAACACTCAGTAGTGACAAAGGTAACATGAGAGAAATATACTAAAGAAACTATAAGCATGTATATGTGTGTGTGTGTTTATCTGTGTTTATGTAACCTTTCATTCAGAACTTCCTATCTTTTCATTGTAAAAAGCTTGTATGCCTTCTGGGCCCAAAATTGGAAAATAAAATAATCTTAAAAAAAATTATACTAAAGAAACTTACAACAGTTGCACAGATCTGTGCATATGCATAATGCACACAAGTTTTGAACCTTCCTAAACTTACCAGATCTGATATTTGTGAACAACTCATGGGTCTCCTTCCAATCACTGCAGAAATTGATACCAGGAAACTTCTTTTCTTTGGCAGACTTTGTAGACTAGATATCAACTGTCTTTCAAAAAAGATCTTTACTTCGCGCTTATTCTCCTTCCTCTATCAACTAAGTGAGGACCAAATGGGATTCATCCCGGATGTATTATTTCTTCTCCAGACGTACCAACTTTCCCATTACTTGAATATCTGGCTTTCTTCTGGATCGTTCCCATCAAAATTATCATGGAAATCTATAGTGCTTCCAACAGTTTACAAAACCCACACTCTTCAACGTACCGATAGAACTGACTTTGACCCAGACTTTTTCAGATTTAATGCGGTATTTTGTATAGCAAAGCCTATCAACATGTGGAAAATTGCAGATTCTTTCCGTGAAATTCAAAACTTTAAATTCATCTGTAAACTCATTGTATCAAAACCCGCTCAAAATCCGTTTGCATGCGTGTTATGTGGTCACCCTGTTACTGACGTTTTTCCCATGCTACATTATCCTGCCCAGCCCTTTCTAATCAACAAAACATATGGTGGAACTCTCTATCTGAATCGTTTAACGTTCACCTTGAAGCTGAATTAAGCGGTCTTCCAGAAGACGAATTATTCAACATTCTTCTTGGAAGACCAACACAAACAGTCATGACTGCAAAAAAAGAAATCGAATTTAAAAAACTGAATTCCATACACATCGTCTCCTCCTGTGCACTCTACAACAGGCAATGCAAACGCACATCCACCCCCTTTACCACAAAATAGTGTATGATATGTGTATTATTCTCTGCATTCGCAGTTTTGCGTATTTTTGTTCTTTGATTTTTTTCTTTTCTTTTTTCATTACTTATAATATGTATTCCTTCTTCTCCTCACACTTTGATTGATTCGTAATTTATTTGTGTTATATTTGTCATGTTAAAAAATCTCTGTAATAGAGGAAATAAATGATGAATGAATGTGCAGTATACAAAGATAAACTGTAATAAAATGTAAACAAAGGTAATATAATTTAACCAGCACGGACACGTGACGCCCATTCCAGGCAGGTACCCGTGAAAGAAATCACTCAGCTGTAACGAATGCTAAGGGAATACCCTAGTGATGATATCGAAAATGGTAAAGTTAATATGGCGTATGCCTATATACGAATCGTGTTCAGATTTAATTCATTATGTGACATAATTGAAATATCCATTTTTTTGGGCATAATATTCCTGTAGGAAACATTGTCGCCTGAGGGGAAGGGGGGTAGTGAGGAAGGAGTGTGCCGCACAACTATCATACCCCTTACATGTACAATTTAATTCAAGTCTTCCAATATCATAGATGAAATCTTTTCATAAATTGTACATAAAATATAGTAAGGTCATCTTTAAAATATTTTTAATACTTTTTAATATATTCCCTCTCCCGACTCGGGGGGAAAAATTGGGTCGGTACACAGGCAACTTTGCCACATATGATCCACATATGTGTATCATGTGTGAATCATATGATTGATTTCATATGAGAATCATAAAAAAAGGGCATCATATGTGAATCATATGAAGCAAATCATATGAATCACATATGATTCACATATGTGAATCATATGAAAAGAACTTCATATGATTTGCACATGAAAAGTTTTAGTGTGTTTCAAGCCATTTACATATGAGAATCATATGAAATGGGCATCATATGTATATCATATGAAACATTTATGTGGGTTTTTTTCATATTTATCAAAAGGAAATACACACTTGTACACATTGAAAATCAGGTATTTCTGCTTTAGATGAAATTTCAGTACATTCCAATGATCTGTTAAATATCTGTAAACATTTGATAATGCTTGCATAATTTTCCAAAAGTATCTTCATCAACAGAAATAACTAATATCACACAGTGCACACTTTAAACAAGAAAGTATACAAACAAGTCAGTAGCATTTGTCGATACATGTATTTTACATATTCTAAAATGAGTACAAATTATTTGAAAGGATTTCAGCAAAATGATCAAGGAGATGAACATGTATACATGTACCAATGAATAACATAATTAGATCATGAACTTGTATAAAAATACCATATGACATGGAAGTGTCCTTAGCAAAATTGAAATATCTGCAAAACATTTGTCAATATATGTAATCTCTATTAGTAATTCAGATTACATGTACCTACAGCATATTTAACACATCAATCATATAGTAATCTCTGCATATGGCACAGCCCAAGTCTGTTGGAAAGTCCTAGCAGGTAATCATTAATAGGTTTGAAATCTTCATATATGAGTATGAAATCACAAAGGATGGGGTGTCTCAATCTAACAAACAAAGATACATATATACATATATATAGTTTTTCATAAAAATGTTAATGTATTTATGCATAAAGCATGAAATATAAAATGTGAATACATTACAATGAGATTTTACAATCAAAATGATATTCCAGTATACATATAAATATAGAAAGCCTATATAGAATGTCAAAGTCTGACAAGATTAAGTACATCCTCCTCATTCATATTTATTCCAGATATTTCCTAATTCTTTTCCCTTCTTTCTCTGTCAACTTTTCCCATTTGTCCTCCCTCTGATCTTCCACCATCATATTGAAAATTCTTTGAACTGTACCCAAAATGCAAATCCACCAATGTCCCCTTTCTGAACAATTTGTTTGTGGCACAGAATAATCTCTAAAAATTATTTTTAAAATAATTAGCATTAATAATAACAACAAGAGGTCCATGGACCACATTGTTCACCTGAGCAACAATGGCAAACTCACTTAACTCTGACACAAGTGGCTTTTGTGAAATGTGTGTCAATACAAAAAAAGTGCTGGAATAAATTGCAAAAGTATTTTTTTGATATGTTCCATAGTGATCAAATATACTCAAAATTCCCTCCTTAGGCCCCACTATTGTAGCAATGTAGAATTTGTTAAAAAGACTTAATTTTTTCCTATACACAAGTAAAAATTACTATGTAAAACTTTGCAACCCTTCAGGGGCCCCACTGGTGGTTTAGTGGTCATTGTTTCAACAAACTTGAAACAACACTGCATAGGGATGTTTGCAAAATAATATCACAAATTGTAGTGTGGTAGGTCTTGAAAAGCAGATTTTTAAAGACTTTACCCTATATAATCTATAGGTTGAACTTTGAACCCCTTACTATTGGTCCTCTTTGCCAAGTTCAGTTGAAATTAGTCCAGTGGTTCTGGAGAAGAAGACATAAATGTGAAAAGTTTATGCCAACAACGATGATGATGGACAACGGACAATTTTGATCAGAAAACTTCATGTGAGCCTTCGCCTCAGATGAGTTAAAAACAAGTACTTTCATTTAAAATGAAAGTACTTGTTTTTTACTCATCTGAGCTGAAGGCTCAAGTGATTCTAAAGATATGATTGGAAAAATTGTTTGTGACATCCAACAAACATGAACTAATTTTCTATCATTGATCATATTTACTAGCAAAGATGTCCTTCCAATAAACAAATATATATCTCAAAATTTTAACATTAAAGTTTAACATCAATATTTTTACAATTTAAAATATTGACTCTTACTGTTTTCATACTAGCATCAGTGTGAAGTATTCCCTCTCTGGATTTGTTAGCATAATTGTAGGAGGAAGGAAACATTTTCCTCGATAATTATGTAGAGACTTAATGGAGGGATCCTCTACATCAACTTCTTTGTTACCCATCAGCTAAAACATTTTTTTCTAAACAATTCAATTCACAATGTATAGCTTAAATGGAATGCAGTGCAAACTTTTGTTTTGACGAGGTAATTCAATTTAGCAATAGACTTTGATACTTCTTAGGATGATATGTAACATATATAAATAAAATGTGTGCACACCTTTGCTCTGATCCGATTTCTGTAATATGTGAATTCAGTGGATCCAAAGCTAGACATAACCCCCATAACATTTCATGTCCAGCCAGCCTTCTTTGCCAGATTGCTGAGCATCTCCTGAATGAATAAAGCAATGCATTTTTCACTTATTTTTCTATACATCAAACACATACTAAGATTCTTCAAGAAAAAATGGTTCACTATTATACATATTGACTATAAACTTTATTAGTTTCATATAATATGACATACATGCTCAGTGCATCTACTTAAATGCTCAGTGCATCTACTTAAATGCTCAATTCTTGCAAAATAGTTAGCTAGCATTTATATTCATCATACCTGTACTTCTGTATCCCTAAAAGAAATCCAGGGGTTGATACTAAATCTTTCTTTAAGCCAATTGACATTCTCTCTGCAAATTTTTAATTTATATACAAAAAATAATTGATATAATATATATAATCCATATCTGCTTGATGCAGACCCCCAAATCATTAACCAAAGTACATGAAAATGTATACATTTATATGATAAAACTACCAGGTAATGTTTTAAAACAGTTGTTGACACCCTATATTATTTCCAAGACATTTATTTCACTTTTGGAAGACATGCTTCATAATAAAATCATAAAATTTTAAAAGTAATAACGTTTTTCCAAAAATTTTGACAATTGAATTTGGAATGTTCAAATAGTATATATTAATTAACATTGCAAAAAATTAAATAGATTCGGATACAAATGTACAATTTTTGGACCAAAAAATCTACAGACAAACAAACAGGCAGAGAAACAGACATTGTGAATCCAGTATATCCTAAAACTTTGTTGGGAAAAATATAACAAAGTTTATTATACAGGGTGTACTTACCTATTTTGAAGCAAGCCCAGGATATTGGTGCCTGTTCTTCCATTTTATTAATGAGAGAGGCTTATTGTATTTTGAACCTATATAAATTATAAAACAAATATTCACACAGTATAGATATTTTCTAGACATGTATCTAATCCAACTAAAAGTTAAAAGAAACTACAAAAGAGAGTGAGTACAAGTCTTTAGGTTAAATTCTCTAGTGCTGAAAAAAAAAATCTATAAATGTCAATTTATATACATGTAAATAATCAAATGAAATTAGATAATGTACTTTCAATACACATGTAATAGTACCTTGAATGTCTGATTAAGCTAAAAGTCATTATCCCCCAGAAGATAATGTATAGTTTTATAGTTCTTCATAGTTTTTATAGCCAGCAAGTTCTATAATATATATGCCTTACATATTTTCATATGCTTTCATACTTATACTCACTTCCTATGATACCGGTGGGTCTCTGGTACCAGTGTATTTCTAATTTTATCTGTCGCGTGCAAAAAACGACACCTGGTGGCCGGCTTTTTTTAGAGATGAGAAGTGATACCCTGCTGTCAAGAACTATCTAATTTATTTATGAAATGTTACGTCGTTTGGTAAGTAATCAGCTATTTTTCACAAGACCCATAGTTTCTGTGTTATTTTGCACTACTCTTCATACCAGACACCGATAAAGTGTTATTAACAACTAAATTGTAAACCATTTTCCCAGACAGTCTTCAGCTTTGTTGTCGTCTGATGTATTATGGTCACGTGACATGTCAAAAAAATATATGGAACGCTGTTCCTGTTAAAATTATACAGTTTTTCAAATGCGAAATAATAGTGAAACTTGAGATGATGTTGCTTCAAATTGGCCTGAAAAGGTTTCAAAATACATTGATTTATATAAAGTTGATTTTAAAAAAATATGTTCTTTTTTTTAATTAAATAAATGTTCATTATTATTAAAAAAACATATACATTTTCCTAATTATGTTATTTAATTAGAAATCTATGGAAGAAATATTATATATTTCAATAAATTAAATTAAAATTTATTTTGATTATTATTATTATTATTATTATTTTTTTGTAGTTTTTTAAAAAATTATTTACCAATAATAAAATATTGTTAAATTCCTAATTTTTATTGAGTAAAAAATAATTTGTATGATTATTACAGGATGCTGCTGGCAAGATAAAAAAACAAAAACTTCAGTATGACAGGGAAAACCTAAAAAAGGCATACAAAGCCACTTTAAGTGGAGTATCTGTTAATCTGGAATCAGCCAACAAACAAAAGCAGCTAAATCTGCAGAGCCTAAAGCATTAGCCAAGACCAGGACATCCAAGGTATCTCGACAGAAATGCATTTCATCCAAAACCTCTGAAACAGACATGAAATTAACTAAAAATACCCAAGAAATAGCATTCGTAGCAGTAAGTGGACCATCAACATCAGGGATCAACAAACAAGGGGGGCCTGTAAGTGTTGAGGACAATGAAAGTGAAACAGAGTCTTTTGAACCTGATGATGAGCTGTGTTGTATGTGCGGCCTATGGGAACCCCAGAAGTTGAAGGAATGTGTCAATTTGACTCTAGTTGATTGGGCCCAATGTGATACTTGCAGTCACTGGACTCACTTAAAATTTTGTAGTGATGTAAGAAAGATTAAAATTGGTGATGTGTTTCATTGTCCTCACTGTGATATGAAGTAAATTGGAAACTTGAAGGATATTCATATTTCACTGATTAGATCAATTTATTTTAGCTGAATTTAGAGGGAAATAATTTCTAATAGTATTATGTTAATTCATATTTAATTTAAAATGTATTTATTTTGAGAAAAAAAATGTTGATTAAAAAAAAAATCAAATGCATATTTTGTTTGATTTATGACTATTCTAGCTCGCCATACATTTGCACCGGTACCAGAGTAATGTCCCTTGAATACACAAACGCAAAACTCGGTTAGGTTTTTGTCTCTTTCACAGTAAAATATGTAAACAGTTCAATTACAACATCAGAATAAGGTAATTTATTAATTTTTTTATTGACAAAACATGGTAAATGATTATATAAAACTTTTCTGTCCGATTACTTGACTTTCAAAGTTAAGTACACCGGTACCATAGGACCCCGGCATATATATATATTTTATTAGTGTGCTGGATTTGTTCTATAGAAAAAGAGTTGGATTAATTTAGTTTTTGATATATGTTTAAGTCATTACTTATATATACTGTGATGATTATTGTATTTATTTATTTATTTATTTTTACCTGCATTGTGATCATGCATCGTCTGCCAAACCAGCTTTGGGTTTAAATCGTCAGTCAAATCAGCTTTGTGTTCAATCGTCAGTCAAATCAGCTTTGTGTTCAATCGTCAGTCTAATCAGCTTTGAGGTTCTTTGAAAAAAAAACAAAACAAAACAAAAACAGCACTGTGACACTGAACTCCAGTTCCTAAATACATTATTTAAACACGTTTCTCATTAATTTGATGAAAGAACCGAATGAATAACGATCTCAACAAACATTTTACGTTAACTGTTTTACAAGGTTTCTACTTTCACTTTCATATCGAATATAAATATTCAAGCATATCTATTAACAAAAGAGAAACAAATCTGAAAAAATAAGTGATGCTAAATGGCCTAAACATTCATCGTTAACAAACAAAATTACTTATTGATCACTATGTTTATCGGACTGCATTAATTTAACAATCATATACAAGTGATGAGAGTACTAGAAAGTTTATACGGATCTGTAACCGTAATGAATGATCTAAACACAATGAACTAGCCTTTAAAAAGTCTTTTAAAACGTATCCGAGATAACTTACTTTTTCCAACACCCAACTCTTCTGCTGCAGAAGTGACGTCAAACATGACGTACACTTTCATCTGATAAAAACCGAAACCGGTCCGTAAATAAAATGTGGAATGATTTTAATTTTACTCATAAAATAAAACCAACCATAACGATTTTTGGATAAAATACAAATCAGTTTATTCTTGATGAATTTTCCTTTTCAAGAAAACAAATTTTGAATTTTATGAAAGGATTTTTTTTTTGGGGGGGGGGGGGGGGGAGGAGGGGGGGGGAGTAACAGAGTACTTATTCTCTTTTTATCCAAGCTTCTTAAGGAAATGAACATCTTGATTCTTTTGAATATATATACATTTAAATTTACACATCTTGATATATGTTACTGAAATTATTTTTTAATCATGCAGTCTACTTGTTAAAATATAACACCAACTTAATGAAATTACTCAAGTGTTAACTGATTAACATTGAATAAACGTATTTTTTTAATCTCATTGAATTAAAATAAAAATGAATTTTACCTGTTTATACCAAGGACACATAAATAAACACACACAGATCTGTTTCATATGATTTTCATATGATAATTCTCAAAGTATGCATATGATTCTCATATGCAGACTCTTTCATATGTGTATCATATGTATATTGCTTCATATGATTTACATATGCGTAAACATATGATCCACATATGATTTGCCACATATGATACTCATATGATTGAATATACATATGATTCTCATATGATCCACATATGATCCTCATATGAAAGACAATGCATATGTGGATCATATGTGGCGAAATTGCCTATGTAGGTAAGTTGGAAATTTTTTCCCAGAAAATTTCAACATACATATTGACTGGATGAGAAAATTTAGGAATAAAAAGAAAAAAATATCATTTCCTGGAGTTAAAAAAGTCGCTGAGTATGGCCAGTTTTAGTCAGTCCGTCGGGAGAGGGCAAACAAATAATTTTTTGAAGATGGCCTAATCAGTTCATATTCTATGGGCGCCCGTCCGTTTATGAGTGTTTTTATATTTCCCACAGTCTTAATGAATACTATAACAGTGCGCTTAGAAATATGAGTTATAAAGGAAAATGGTTCTCAAGTATTTTTACGAAGGCCAGTAATTTGAGACATGCAAGGATTTTTTTATCTCTTTTTGTGGTTATTAATTATACTCATACGTCTACATTTTCACACTCATTCATAATTATAGTGACATAAACATGACTATGGAGGTAAAAGAAATAAGTGTCCGACCTTTTTGTTTCCTGTCGACACATCCTGAGACCCCATGGCATCACATCCTGTTTGATTTTATTCACTCTGTATGGAATTTATATTAATATTTTATCACGTTCCTAACATGTGGTTACAAGTAATGTTTGACGAACAAGCCAGTGAATGTAATAACCAGGTAGGACCACTAGTTCTTTTTTTCAGTCTAGAGGGTGGGGGGATCGGGGCTTTTCATTTTTTATATATGTATAGGATAGGGTGGTGATACGATCACCCTTCTTACAAAGCATTGTTAAGATTCATGTGGGATTATACCAAAACATCTTGTCGAAAAAAAATATTTTATGTATTAATGCAGCACGACACTGACGGATCGACATGTGCTCCAGGTGGAACAGACGGAAACTACATAATGTACGCACGCGCAACTTCCGGGCATTTACCGAACAACGATAAGTTTTCAAGCTGTAGTATCAACCAGGTGGCGCCCATTATCGAGGAGAAAGGTCGTAGTCCAACCGCCGGCTGTTTCGTAGGTATGACTTTTAAGATTCATAAACCCTTTGCTCACTCATATAAAATGTTGCATTAACTCTTATGATTTTCCTGAAGAAATGTATCTTAGAAGTACAAACAATTATACCATAACTTGCGGGACAAAATTAAACAAAAAAGACATTTCATCTTGACATGTCTATAAAGGAATAATCAAAAATATATGTCATTAAGAGTTATCTCTCTAATCAGAGTATCAATGAACCTTAAGTATAACTTTGATCTAATTAAATTTGTTGAGAAAAGAAATATATATATATATATATATATATATATATATATATATATATATATATATATATATATATATATATATATATATATATATATATATATATATATATATATATGTTTACACAAACACTGCAATTAATCAAATAAATCAGGAGTTTTTTGTGTTACTCTAGTCTTACAACACAGCCTGTGCGTATGGTAGAAAAATGAAACTTTGAAAAGGGGAAAAAATAATTGTACATGATTTCAAATCCTTGAAAAGGAACCGACAATTCAACAAAAATAATTCAATTAATTATTGTTTATCTACATTTATAAATAAAATCGTATATGATATTCATGTTTTGAATTTCCCGCCTTTAGCGCCTACAGGCCACGTGTGTGGGAATAAAATAGTGGAGGACCCGGATGAAGAATGTGACTGTGGGTGGGAGGATGACTGTAAGGAGACGTGTTGTAATCCCGCGGGATCAACCAATTCCTGTAAATACAACAATACCGGGGGTGTGGCGGGATTTTGTAGGTAAGGAGACGTTGTATTCCCAAGGGATCAGTAATTCCCTGTAAATACAACAATACTGTGGATGTGGCGGTATTTTGTAGTTAAGGAGACGTGTTGTAATCCCGCGGGATCAGTCAATCCCTGTAAATACAACAATACCGGGGGCTTGGCTGGATTTTGTAAGTAAGGAGATGTGTTGTTATCCCGCGAGATTAGCCAATCCCTGTAAATACAACAATACCGGAGGTGTGGCTGGACTTTGTAGTTAAGGAGACGTGATGTTATCCTAAGGGATCCGCCAATCCCTGTAAATACAACAATACTGGGGGCTTGGCTGGATTTTGTAGGTAAGGAGATGTGTTGTAATCCCGCGGGATCAGCCAATCCCTGTAAATACAACAATACTGGGGTCTGGCGAGATTTTTTAGGTAAGAAGACGTGTTGTAATCCCGAGGGATCAGCCAATCCCTGTAAATACAATGATACCGGGGATGTTGCGAGATTTTGTAGGTAAGGAGATGTGTTGTTATCCAGCGGGATCAGCCAATCCCTGTAAATACAACGATACCGGGGGTGTGGCGGGATTTTGTAGGTAAGGAGACGTGTTGTAATCCCGCGGATTCAGCCAATCTTTGTAAATACAACAATACCGGAATGTCTTGAATCAATTAACAACAGATTGAGAAAATTCAGCGATTCAGCAATTAAGTTATTGTATTTTGTTGTATGCGAGAATGATTTGAAATTTTTAAACTTCAAGCACTTCAAAATTGATTAAATTGTTCAATATATTACATGTATTTCAATTTTTCTGTCTATGATATAAAGAAGATGGGTGAACATGACGAGCGAAAAGCCTTTAGTCTGACAAACATTAAATCTCAATTATATCAAAATTTTCCTTGATATTTCATCTAAGATTAAAATATACTTTACGTAAAATCTCTACAATTTGCAAAAATCTCACAAAGATTGAAATTATTTGCTAATGAAATATTGTACACACAGTAAAGAGGGCAAAAAGAGTCATTTTCTCATACTACAACACTATTTTTTGATATGAGTGGGTCTTTGCTCCATTTTTTTCTTCTTTTTTTTTTGAAAGTTATTATTCGAAGTTTGCACAAAAGAAAGATTAGTATACATTTTTTTGGTTTCATAAAATGTGGAGCTAAAGGCTTTCTGCACGCTATGTTCGCCCATCTTTAGATATCGGTTGCTAAAGTGTAATCATGGATATATTACAATTACATACGATAAAAGTATCAACTACAGATGAAAATAAAAGCTTATTTGAACTTGGATCCTTTTAATGTTTGAAAATGTCCTTTTCTGTATAGCCCAAGTGAGGGGCCGTGCTGTGGATCAGACTGCCAGAAGATGACTTCCGGTGTATGCCGAGGGAACACTTCTTGTCTCGCTGCCGCCACGTGCGAATATCCTTTAGAAAATAGTTCTGTATAAACTAATCAAAACTTATTTTTGTAAGAGAGAGAGAGAGATGTCTTATTTCCTTAACTGACTCACTGGTTCAGGGGTCACGTGCCCTCCATCGTCACCGGAACCAAACGGAACTGCATGCGCTGACGGACAGGTTTGCTTCCTAGGGGTAAGTTATTCAATACTGGGAGTATGTTATTCAATGTTGCTATATAGCGTGTGTATTCAAGGAATTAAAAAGTTCTATCAAAGTGAACAACAACGACATCTTCATTTAACAGTCACTCGGTATACTTATTTCAGATGCTGTAGCAGCTAGCAATTTTTGTTCCAATCGTGTAAATACAAAACCAAGATGAATGTAACAAAATAACAGAATTTCAAGTTATAAACATTGTAACGTCTAGCGTCGTTTTGACCACACTTCCGTTGTTCTGCTTCAGTGTGCCGCCATATTGAATATCATAACAAAATGTTTTAAACATTATTGGGCATTGTTATAAACTTTGTACTATCCAGTCTTGTTTTGACCACACTTCTGTTTTCTATTTATTTGATTTAACATATTTTATTGCAAAAAAATATATACAATGGGCTTGGGCACAAGTTCTAAAAACTTTAGTCGCCCTCTCCCTACATGTAATATCACAAAATATTGAATTGGATGTGCCCAACAGTGTGTACAGAGTAAATTAACTCACAACATGGAAGTATAATTGTCTATACAGTATACACATTTTAAGAACAATCGATTAATTTCTCTTTAGGAGTGTTCAGCCTCGGTGTGCCTGGCTAAGGGTTACGAGTCATGTCAGTGCCCGGGGTCCGGCTGGAAGGACGCAAACCTCTGCCGTCTCTGTTGTCAAGTCAACGACTCATGTCAGTTTGAAGATGGACACGCCTTTACAGGTGCCCCTTGTAATGACTTCAAGGGCTATTGTGACGTCTTTCACGTGTGTCGCGAGGTAAGACTCTCTTTTTGTCTCCTGTAATCGCGATAGTACGGGGACATTAAACAGGTCGAGGAGTCTACCCTACATGGATATTGTTGTCATTGCGCACAGCGGTGTTTACCTCGAACAATGCCAGCACTGGACTGTCGTGCTGGAAGTCTTAACTGTAACAGAGGAACAATATATAATTAGTGTTTTAGTCATACTGGCTATCCCCTGTACAGTGTTTCTTTTGATGCATGATGACTAAAGCAGTTTGTAAATTAACAGTATTAATTTTATTATGAAAGAAAGTTGATTTTTCGATCAAAATAAACTTGCATGCTAACTAAACTTTGTATGAAAAATTGACTTTTTTTTAACAAGATGTTTTTTTTTATTTTTATATAGGTGGATCCAACAGGACCTTTAAGCAATATCCGGAAGTTGCTGCTGTCAGGTGACGTCATAAACACCGTGAAAACATTCCTGACGGAGAAATGGTGGGTGGCCGTGCTCGCCGCTGTCGGTCTCTTTGTTATTATGGTACGTTGTTGAGTATTGCTTTATGTAGCACCATATATAGTAGGAAACTGAAGAAAACCTTTAAAACCTGAATATATCTCCTGTTCCGCGATCAGAGGTCATATTAAGGCAGATTTGTCTGATTCTTTGTGTGTAGGTTTATAAAACTGCTAAATTAAAACATGCAACAAAACAAATTAACATCTCCTGATTAGAGTTGAATTATAGTTTATATGCTAGTGTTTTCCCCAGTAGTCAGTGTTTTTCTTTCATTTTTGTAGGGCTTATTTATCAAATTTTGCTCCAAAAGTCATGGACCAAGAAAAGAGAGGAGCGGGGGAAAGAGAGATAACCGTGTCAGACCTTTTCCGCGGGAGAGTCATATGTAGATACACTGTAAATATCGATAGGGTTGTGGCAGTTATTACAAAATTTCGCTTCTCACACTTTATCTTTTTGAATGACGTTTCTAGTCCGACTTGTGTACAGACTGTTTGTCTGAGGAGTTCTAAATGTTTTTATAAGAAAAATATCGTCGCTTGAAAGTAGAGAAAGATAGCAGATCTTCATCTCAGTATTTCTGTGTTTTTGTAAAATGTTGAAGGTGTGACCGTTTGGTCGAGCGCAGTGGATAGGTTATCCACTTTTATTAAGGTTTATACAGTGACGTCACATGACATCGTATGTTAGTTGCATATTTCCATAACATAATACTAGGAAGTCTGCGCAGCTAGGTTAAGGACGCCCATGAAATATACGCCTTTATATTTTCAGGGAAAATGAATACAATTTTAATATTTTTTTAAAAGCAGTAGTTTTGATAAATGTGAATTATGGTGTTTGCATTTGTATAAACCAGGTCTCTGCTGAGTTCGGGCAAAGTGACATCGCTTACATCAGCTGTTTGTCACGTGACAGGTTTAAAATTGAACCATATATGTACTACTACAAAGATCGTAAAAGTTCAACGATATATAGGCATCATTCCGCAATAAAATTTATTTTGTTTTCTTTGAGACAAATTCCTCAATCCGAAAAGTGCTGGGAGCAACTTCCTCATGCTCGAGAATTGTTTAAAATTTAGCCGTATTTCTATAAACTCCAGACAAAAATGTAATATGCATTGGAATAATGTTAGATTACGGAATAAATAAACAATGTACAACCAGCTCCCAGCACTTTTCAGAATATTAGGAATGATAGCTATACGTGTTTAAAAATTCAGAATTTATAGTGAAGCGGATATCGTTGAACTTTTAATATTTTCGAGGGGCTGGACCTGTCATTCTAGCACGTTACTGTACAAATGTGCTCTCTACGGCTTTATTTAAAGTCTACACATTATCAATTTAGTTTGACAATAAAATGTGGATTAATGTATTTCAGAATATGTCTCTCTTTTGGTCCGACTACGCATGTTTCGTATTTATTTTTATTTTTACAAGCTACGATAAAAGCTTGATCCACGCCTCAAATACAGAGAAACTGCGTGTCAAACTAAGAAATGACGTCATTTCAGTAAGTACAGCGAGATCAAGCTGGCTTTCATTCTGCATACGCAAAGTGCTATTATGGCAAGATAAGTTGCACATCCATTTATCTTTATAACATTTATGAGAAACAGAAGTATTTAGTGTGTTTTAAAAAGAACATATAGTATTTATTCATCGAGATTCATTTGTATTGTTTTAACGTGACGTCATAATAGCTTTCCCGAACCTCTGCATAGGCTGACGTATATATGAGAGTCCTTAACCTAGCTGCGTGGAGTGTTTAATTTTTTTGACGAAGAACGTTAAATCTACTATCTGTCTATAATATCCGTTAAACCAAGGTTAGTTTATTTTTTTATTTTTACCTTTTGTGTGGTTATCGCGAGAATTCGTTTGGGCGCCATATGCAATATCATGGAGCATTATGGATACCGAGTTTACTTTTGGGGAGGGGGGGGGGGGTCGTTCGGATCAGTGTGCAGTCCAAATTTCCTCTTCACCTAGGCGTTGCTTAAAGAGCTCGCAGTGATAAGCAGCGCTCGCTATTGGTGTATATTCATCATTTTTGTTTGTTTGTTTTGTGTGCGCGTTTTCCCCCTCTAATTTGTATTTTACATGAAAAGATTAAATCAATTATTTTATCAATCTGCATTCCGTCCGACCGAAAAATCAAAATAAACTTTTTTATGTAGCTTTTTAGAATTTTGTTGCAGTATTGATTTGTGAGATAATGTGTACTGTTTGAATTAACCTGTGATGATAAATATTATAACCTTTCGTACCTATGCTGTATATATATTTTTTGTAAGATTTTGAAGAAACTTTGACATGATATATGTATCTGTTGTACTTTTGACTTGTGTAACATTGTCCCGTCAGTTAATCACCTGTCACTGTCCTGTAAGTCTGCTTATTTCTCCGACATCAACACCCCCCCCCCCCCCCCCTTCTCCTACAGACAGCTAGAATGAATATCAACACAGTTTGCAGATTAATAATAAGATATAGGGTATATAAAATTTAATATAAGTTGAGTTTGCTAAAAAAAAATCAAAATGAAAACAGAAATATACCAATCTAAAAAAATCTTGCTTAGCGAACATTTAGTAGTAGTCCTCCCTATTGCATTACTCTAGTATAAACCATTGAAAGGTACAACATTTTTGCATAATTAGTTTCATCATATACCCCGTACATGTACCAAGGTAATCCGATTTTCCTCTGTAATATGCAGTCAGTATGAAGATTGGTCTTTCAGCTTATCCCGTAAATTAATACAGTTTCAGCGGTATTTAGAATTTTCGATCTTGTACGTCACACTGAAACGTCGAACAGTTATACACGACCTGTATACTTCGCACTGGTAAATACAGTAAATTTATATATAAATAGTAAACATGCATTTGATCAGTGCATACAAGTATTTAATAGGATTAGTAGTTCAAGCTGTTCCTGTGTACCTTATTTCGTTATTGTCAGTGCTCAGCACCCGAAAGTCCAAACTATGAATCAAAATATTCTACATCTTATGCACAGGTGTACTGTATTTACTAGTGCTAGTATTAGTAAAGTTTGGAACAGTCATAATATACAAGTAAATGATATACATGTAACAACGGTTTAATCAAGTAATCCATCCAGGAATTCATATTCTCTCTCTCCCTCTCTCGTTTTTTGTAGGCTGACAAGTTGTAAGGAGTAGTCCGTCATCTCGTCCCCTTTGATCTCTCTCTCTCTCTCCCCACGTTTTGGAAACGCATGCATTCTCATAAAGATGTTAAACGTACTCAATGTAATCGGCACTATTTTAGTTTAACAAACTGCTTGCATAGATTGTTTACAAGTTTAAAACAATGTTTCATACTCCATTTTATCATGAGGTAATTCTGAGTCCCCAGACAGATCTTTAAAATTCAATTTAATTACATTTTTAAACATCACGACCCTCGTCTTTGTTGGGCCGTGTTGACAGGCATTGCTTTAGCGACCACTGTCCACGCGATCAAGCGAGCAGTTTAAAAGACTGGACAACCTAACTGTTGACATTTCTTCTTATTTTTCTTCTCGTCATGTTCTATTTTCTTTTAAAATTCATAGGCCAAGGACAGTTTCTGTTGTATTTTCAGTGTATTTCTATTATAGTCTGTATGTTTTAAATATTTTGTAACTATCACTGTATGATACACCAGAAAGCAGATTTTGTTTTTAATTTTATGTGCCTGTTATAAAATTTGAAATTTGTAGTACTCAATTGACTTTTTAGACATTTGCAGTTATGTTAAAGAAATTAAAACAGAGATGTTGTGGCACATGTAAAAGTTGCTTTAAGTTTTATTTTTGTGGCACTTCTTAAACCTGGAAACCCATAGCCCTAAACCTCCCACATAGGTATACAAAGGCAGGTAGAAGTAAGTCAATTAGCAAGTAAATATTTTATTAATAAACAGTGACATGTGTATATGTACAAATACAATAGTGGTTATAATAGAAACATAATTACACTAAACCCGGCCCATTGGACCTATATCTAAATTTAGCATATAAAACATATTTTTCAGAGAGGGCGCATACTTTAATTTTATTTGTACAAATTAATATTTCTGTCTTACTGAAAAAATTAAATTGTCTCAGATTCTTTAGCATTTTTCAATTAAGTATTTAAATTATCAACTAGATAATACATTTCTGTTTAAATTAACAAATTAAGGAAAAAGTCTTTTCGGATGTTTCCGAAAACTGCATTGGAATAAGAAATGTTAAGAAATAAGAGATCTAATAAAGAGATGTTTCGTAAACACCTACAAAACGACATTAATAAACTTATAATCAGATTTTGTTGGCCTTAAGTCGTAAAACACACACATACTTTGTGTATATCTGAACTTTGAATTCCATTTACTTATATGTATATATTCTCTTTTAAATAACGGTACAATAAAGTGTCGATCAGGTCCTTACAACACCAGATAGATTTATGACACCGGGGATCGTACCACTGTTTATTTTATCGGTACTAAAATGACTGGGAATGCAATGATATAGTTCTAACTTCCTTTTCACTAATCGATACTGATATTTGTGGAAAGCTAAATTTGCCCATAAACTCACTGTTCCGGAATTTGTAAAACCATCGTCTCAAAAGTCACCGCAAGAAAAAGTGATTTTTGCGTCATTAAAAATTCAGGACACATCTCTGAGAAAATAGTTCTATGCTTTGGATTGAGGGGTCTACATGGGGGTAGACTCATCGCTGGGGTGTACATCGAGTGATAACCGGTTAGGCCTCTTATATAACGTTAAACTTTGATCCGCCTCCCAGATGCCGAGGCGTGTACATCCAAACGAACGGCAGGAAGACCGGGACCCAAATAAACTAAACCAGCATCTCAAGGTATGTGATTATGTGGCGCGGATCATAGTGTAGTTAAGGTCTCTGACATCGCAAGGTATGTGATTATGTGGCACGGACCACAGGCCTTTGAATCGCTTAAATTCGACTTTTAAAAAAAATGGGGTGTAATTTTTTTTTCTAAAAGCGATCTAAAGGCCTGTGGCACGGACCAAAGAGTCATTTATGTCTCTGGCATCATGTTGTAGGTGATTATGTGACGCAGATCAAAGTGTCATTGACTTCTCTGAAAATTGAATTTTTGTTACGTTTCTATGTTCTGAGAACTGATATTTTCTTAGACTCCAGACATAGACAGATTTATACCCTTTTGATGGAGGTTACCAGAGGAGTGAAATTACAATAAACGCAGACGGCAGATTTATTGATCGATTTCAGTCCATTAAAATGACATTTTCTATCTTTTTTGTGTAAAAGAGACAAAGTCTGAAAATTCACTTTGAAAAAAATTAATTATCAGAGAAATGATGTTCACGTGCGTTACAAAAATTCATTACAATGCATGCTCTAGTAAATCTATGTATAGGACAGCCACAGAACACGGCATCAACGCAGATTAAATGTCAAAACAACCACAAACCCATTAGTAGTTATATAAATCTTTTTTCTTTTTCAAAAAAAAAAAAATGTATGAGCGGATATGCTAATTATAAGAAATGGCTTAAGTTTCTTCATTTTTTAACTAGACATTTAAAATTTAAATTTAATAATTTTAATAGTGCATGATCTAATGAACATTTAAGTCTCTCATTTAAATTGACCCTTACTGTTATTCAGGAATAAAAATTCAGTATTCCGTGTAAAATTTGCTACAATAAAAGGGCGGATTCAGAAATTTAAAATAGGGGTTTCGGAACTCGATGATATAAATTGATCATCATAAATCATCAATAATTAATTGGACCTAATAAAAGTTATCAGTGTGCCATTTCTAAGGAAAATAGTTTCAGATTTGGTCATGAAAAAGCAAAAAAATACAGGCCCGTAGGTTGCAATTTCACTTTGAGGGGGCACAACCATACATTTTCAGTTGGGGGTGGGGGGCTGGGGGCACTATCAACTACCAAAATTCCTTGACAAGCAAAAACAGGTCATCAGACGTAATTATTGAGGGGGCACAAGCATATAGTAGCTATGTTTTCTATAGTATTCTATATATCGGCAAAATTATAGGGGGGGGGGGGGTGCCCCGCTTCCCCGGTTCCTACAGCCATGCAATAGATGTTTTGATTTCGATTCCTATTTTCCGGAATTAACTCTCGGATTCTCACGCTACTGTAGAGAACATTCGCTAGCAATATAAATCTTATATATATAACTGACAGTCGATATAAAATAAGTTCTATTTGACAATTTGTCATTTGTACATGTACTTTTTTTCTCCTTCAAACCAAAAATACTTCAAAAATATTTCATTTTTCTCTTTATAAACACATTGTTTTCTGATGTCCGAAAAATTACAGCATCGCTGTTTTATTTCATTCAGAGCGCCTTCCATGACGTAATAGGAGAGCCTCCAGGGTTACGTAGTGTGAACATCACGTGGGATTGTTCCAAGGAGTGCTACACTTTTTTCCACGCCTGTTGCTATGGTTTTGTAACGCTATTCCTCGCGCCATTCATCGCTATCGGTTGGGGTTTTACTTTCGCTTTTACAGCCTTTGAACATATTTGGTGTCTCACACCTATATTCAAGAACTGTTATATTTGCTGTGAGAGTTTTTTCTTACGCTGCATTCGTTCCATTCTGAATTGTTGCGTCACACCTTGGACTAACGCATGCGGAGGAATTTTTGTTGCTTTTCATAAAGACATACCGGAAGCTGTGGTTGTACACCCCAAAGCGAGGCTAACAAAGGTATCATCACGTGATAAGAAGAATGATGATGAAGAGGTGGCTCAAGAACCGGAACCGGAAAAGAAAGCATTATTAGCTGCACCAGTTGTTATTCGGGAATCTAGTTATGTCTCCGCAAATAAAGTACAGGCGAACAAGTCGATACAGCGTCAGCTGGGACTCTACCAATGAATTGGAAATATTATAAACAATATGGTTTTGCTGTTATTCAATTCATTTCAAGAGTTAAACTTTCAATATTGGAGTATTTGTTGATCGCACGATTTAACATTGCAAGTGTTTTTAATTAACTTTTTATTTATTTAATGGTTTTTATTTATTTATTTATTTATTTATTTATTTATTTATTTATTTATTTATTGTTCATTTTTTGCTGCTTGTAAAAAAATTCAGACATTATTTTACAGGAAAAATTCTTTCCATTAGAAAACAATGCATAGAAAGTACAGGAAAAATGTATGATACATTAAAAGGTTTCTATTTTTTTTTCTCTTTCCATTGGATATTAGCAGAAGAAAAACAAATACTTAAAACGTACAGGAAAATGTATGTTGCATTAAAAAGTTCGTATTCTTATCTTCAAAATGCCACAGGTACTTGTGGACAGGACCCTTCTCCCCCCCCCCCCCCAGATATTCAACCCGAGGCTTGTTAGACATTTTTTGTCACAAATTATATTTATTGCACTTATTCATCATGTGTACCAAAGGCAAAAATCGTGAAAACCCCAAAATAATCGTTCCACACAAAAATACCCCACTATACATTATAAGAGAGAAAGGTATGCCACTCCGGTTTGTTTAAGTTGTACCCCCACTGGTCTTTCTGGATTTAAAAACATGTATTTATTTTATTTTAACCTAAAATGTCGGTTCACATTGTCTCTACATATATTTCTGTCTTAGTTCATGCTATCGGATTGACTCTGCATCTCGTTAGAATCCCACAATTAATCCTTAAACAGCATTGCAGTCAGTGGGTTGAAAAATCCTTAGGTAAACGCAACGGAAGTGCATAGAGAATATATTACCTATTATGATAACACCCGAGAGAGATTATTACGTCAGGCCAAAACTCTCTGGGGCGTTATCGTAATAAGTGATACATTCTTGATGTACTTCCGTTGCGTTTACCTAAGGATTTTTCAACCCACTGACTGCAATGCTGTTTAAGGATTAATTGTGGGATTCTTACGAGATGCAGAGTCAATTCGATAGCATGAACTAAGACAGAAATATATGTAGAGACAATGTGAACCGACATTTTAGGTTAAAATAAAATAAATACATATCTTTAAATCCAGAAAGACCAGTGGGGGTACAACGTAAACAAACCGAAGTGGCATACCTTTCTCTCTTATAATGTATAGTGGGGTATTTTTGTGTGGAACGATTATCTTGGAGTTTTCACGGCTTTTTTCCTATAGTACACATGATGAAAAAGTGCAATAAATATAATTTGTGGAAAAAAATGTCCAACAAGCCCCGGGGTTGAATATCGGGAGGAGGGGGGGGGGGGTCCTGTCTACAAGTACCTGTGCAAAAGGAGAACTGTCGTTTTAAGCCTCTGTCTACCAGGACTGTGTAACCACAGAGCTGACACGGCGTCGTTAAATTTCTGGGATCACCGTGGAATATCAGGAGAATTCAATGAAATTTTTAAAGGATTATGTGACGGCGACCAAGGCGTTTCTACAGAGATCACGCGGTTTCGTCTCAAACTATGACGTGGAATGTACTAGTCTCTGGCGGAATATGTTCTTGGATTTTGTTTGGCTAAAAGTTTGTTTCTAAAACTACATAGAAAACAATCTGATTAAAATCAGATCCTTGATCCGCTCACATAGATCGCTACACCTTGTATAGGGATCTATGTGAGCGTATCAAAGGATATGATTTTAATCGGATTGACAGAGAAAAATATCGTAATGTTTTTACGTAAAATGAAGCGTTAAAAAATGATTTATTCATTGCAATATACCTGTATAATTTTTGGAATAACATTTTTAAACACACTAATTTTCAAATTTTGTTTTCTGCCCGAGATTAGTACATACCACTTCATGGTGTGAGAGGTTATTCCAATCTGGGAACAGAGTATTGACGCTGTATACGGAGAAGAACATGCCAGTATGGTTGTGTAGATAAATTATATTGTAGAATAGAATGTTAATGAACACTGCGTTAAAATATTCAATGTTACAGAAACTAGTGCCTGTGACACAAACGATGATGGCTGAATGTATCTGTTGAATTTCTTGAATAAAATAGCCATTTTAGGTGTATGATAGGGGAAAAAGAGCTAAACAACAACTATAGTATACATAAATGTAATATTTAGTCCATACATGTACACATGTAAGAGTAAATACTTGTTGAGTAAAAAAGTCAATATATTACTCTGTGTGTATTTGACTGAGACGTTTTATGCTTATTCCTCCTAAAAAGGGTTATCACTATTTAATTCAATAGTCAGAGTATGTCAAAACCAAGCTCAATATTCTTATATTCGATATTAACATAATCTTTTATTAATATATTTGGGTTTAATTATATCATAGCAATAAATTCACATAAATATCCCCTTTTATTAACTATTTAACACGGGTACAAAAAAGCAATCTTTACAACATATTTTGTAACAAGAACACTGGTTACTAGTAGTCGCTCAGTGATAATCAAATAATGAATTCTAATCACCCGTCCTTGACCCTGTGACCTTGGAATCAATAGGCTCTTCCGCTGTGTACTATGTATCTCTGTAGAAGTCTCCAGAGCAGTAAGAAGATAACAAACATTGATGAATAGATCTCGGAAAAAATCAACAAACAATACAAATCTGTGAACAGGGCATAAAACACTGACCCCCTGGACATTCCAGAAGTGTGATTGGGTTCCTATTGGAGGCGTACGCATCCCCTGTCGACCGGTCACACCTGCTGTGATCACATTTATTGATCAAGAAGACGGAATATTTCATAGTCAAAGGTATAAATCAAAGGCCTTACAATTGTGCAACATCAACTTATCTGTCAGTAGCCTGCCTCGGTTTCAAATTGAGCATGGTCTTGAGTATAAAAAAAAATTGCGAGAAGTAAATGCAGGCGATATTGGAATATTACTACATTAGGCCATTCCAAGTTTTTTTTCTATGTTTAGCGTCCGCGTGCGCCTTGGTTTTTGACACCCCATGTCAGAAAAAACAAACAAAATCAAGAGTCCTGAAATTGATTACTCAGGTCGAAGTCTTTGAATTCTGTCAATTTCTCTAAATATTTGTCTACAATATGTCATATTAGGTATATTTTAAGCATTTAATACCTTGATTTTGCTAAAGAATAGATCTTTCTACGGAAAAATAGGTTAATGAAATTAAATCCTTTGAATGACGTCATTTGTATGATTATTAAGTCTGTGTTTTATTTTTTGCTTTGTGTGTTGTTTTACGAATAGATGGTAGGTTTTTGAAAGATGGGTGGACGCTAAACAGAGAAAAAAATTGGAATGGCCTTAAGCTTAATAAAGATATTAAGTCGAAGGAAAAACTGAAGTCTTACATCTCGTTTGTCATACAGTTAATCTTTAATTAGCCCTTACAGTCGGTAAAACATCCAAATATGAAACAGATGAGGCAGACTCTGGGGTGTATTTTATTTCAAGAGGAGAAATTAACAAGAAACAGAAAACAAAGGTCAAGTTATCATATCGATAAATTGAATCCGTGTACTAAATCAGTCTCTTAACAAAATTTCATAAAAATATTTTATAAAAAAAAAAATAATATATACTTGGCATCAATATTCTCGCGTGAAAAGAATTAAATTATTAATATAGAGGCTTCTTTTTGATTTTTGTAAATTTGTGTCGTCATGTAGGTAAATCCGGGGAACTTGAATTCTTTGTAAACAATAAGCTCCTGTGTTAGCACCAAGTTCAAGTTCATTTATTCACTCAAAACCATCTAAAATATATGGAACATGAGGACAATGAAAAATATTTATAACATATAAACCAAGACACGGCGCCCCCCACCCGCTTTATGGCAGAGCCTGTTCACTCTGTTTTATGAATTATCATATTGCGTGTTCAGTCTCCTCTATATAAATATCGCGCTCCTATACGCCTATAAACAGTTATACAGTTTACGCTTCTCAGAAATCGTTTCAGGAATATCACACAACAAAGGCTTTTTTTTTTCCAAGTATAGTCTTTTGCTGAAGTTTTAATCTGTATATTTTTATTTAAATGCCCCCCCCCTCCCTACGTTTTGTGGCTGTAAGGTCAAACACAGCATTTGAAATTAAAAAAAAGTACCAAAAGGTTAAAGAAATCTATGTACCAAAAGGTTAAAGAAATAGAGCCCCCCCCCCCCCCCCCCGTTTTTCAAATCTTTGTTACGGGCCTGCAATATGTTCCTTAAATGTATATTAAACACGTCGATACTAATGTTAAATACTCTCCCCAAGGAGTTATTTTTAACTCACTTCAATCACAATTTTTTTTTTCAGTTTCAAAATCACACTGTCAAAAAATGCAAAAATTTATGAACATTGCCACTTAAACACTGCGAAAATATGCAATGACAAAAAGTGAAAAAAGAGTTTTTGTGTGTGTTGTATTGGTTAATTAGGCCTGTCTTGTCGCCCTTTCTATGTCTTACGTCACCTCTAGCTATTGTCGACCTATCGATTCTGACACATTGATTGACAGCTCCCCTTAAAGGTGTGATTTACACCTTTGTTTTACCTGTGCATTGTGTATTGTCCCTTTCGTTTTGTACACAACTGCGCTACAATTCTGATGCATGTTCATTTACATTCTTCGCTGCCGGAAGAAATTTGAAATTTCTGGTGGAAATATATATATATTTTTCTTTTTTTCAAAATTCTACAAACCTCTCGCAATTTTTGAATTTTGATTGAGAAAAAAAAAAAATGTGATATTTGAAAAAAAAAAGTCACAATCTAATTTTGCGAATGTGAATTTGCAATGTGTTTGATAAAAACGTTGAAGTTATGTTATGATTTGCGATAAGTATATCGAGAAATAAACATGATCTGAAGGAAATACATTATCTGTGATTTTAAAAGCGGCTGAACTGAGGAGAATATTAATTTTATTTCACTAATTATTAACAAAGTGGCGGATCTGAGAAGAATTCTTCTTTTACTTTACGGAGTAATCAAGCGGAGGATCTAGCAATTGTAAGTTTTTTCTTTATTGTTTCGCTGTTTTAAACGGGAACAACATGATAAACCGCATGTTTTATTTATTGAGGTTAAGGAATCGGATATGTGTAAGTTTTGATTCTAATGATGGAATTTTCTTTAAAATCAAAGATCTGTACCAGGGGATAGGTTTTAATTTTGACTTTAATGACGGGATTAATGGTTGCACAGGCTTAATGTAGATATAAATAACTTTTTCCAAACTTTTGATGAATAGCAGATACCATCGTATATAACTAAAATCTGTTTTATAAGGATTTATTCAGATCACAACAGTAAGAGATAAATTGTCAATGACTGTCACTGCTCTAGAGAGACAACCACATACATGTGTATATACTGTATGTACACACCGCGCACCTGCTACACGAGTTTTTCCTGCTGTTAAGTAGCCCTACGTTTAATTAATGACTTTGTCCATAATCTAACGGTCACCATTATAGATCTCATACGTCCAGACTGACACAGAATACTATTATATATCTGTCCTTTTTAGATCCGTCTATAATATAGTATCTCGCTATTTAACTGCGAGACAACCGTTTTCCCAATACGTTATATTCTTTTCTTTGGAAAAGAAATGGGGGATCTATTTTTTTCTAAATCAAGCCTCCCAGATCAATCATTGTTGAATTTGAGCTTATTTACACTTTTATTTTTTAAATTTTTTTTTTCACAATTTCAGCATTGCTTTTAATATATAAAGTAGTGTTGACGTCCATAACTGTTCTGGAATGGTGATGAAGAAAACAAAATCTATGTGGTTGGATTTTTGTAAATCTGTATATCTTGTAAATATTCTGAATTCTGAGCAATAATTTGAGGTTTGGAGACCTATAAGCAAGATTGAATGTGTACTAATTTTTACTTTCTTAAAAAGTGAAGTTTTCAAAAAATGAAATAAATGCACATATGCGTACCAGATGACTAGCTATTTTATCAAACACGGCGTTCCCTTGATAAAACATATAATAATTTAATATAATAATTTAATTTTAAACGAGAGGGTAGAAATAAATTGTATTTTAAAAATATCTAAATTATAATGAAATAGGGAGATTGTTTACCAGTATTTGTTAAATTGATATTGATTTACTTTATCATAGATGCTATAAATCAATATATGCTGATTTAACATGTCAATTTATATGGTCTGTATATGCTCCTCCCCTCCTCCCCCCCCCCCCCCCGTTGTCGTATGGTTTTATACAATATTCGTTTATTATTTCCAATTCTTTTTATTTATACTGCGCATTAGAATTTTAATTTGCCTTTTGCTTTTCCTTACTTAAGCCAACTTATTCCGTTTTTTTTTTTTCAAGCGACAATGTTTCAAGAATTGTGCATTCATAGAGTTAAAAATGATGGAGAATCTATCAACAGTATCGTGTAATATAACGCCCAATCTGTCACTTAAAGAGATTAAGGACATACGCAACGTACCTTACCTACTGATAATTTTTCAAAATATTCTTAATTTAAGACTATAGTGCCATCAGATGTTCGTAGACAAAAAATCTGCATGCATTACCAGGGGTTTTGAAAAAATATCAATTGATGAAAATTCTTGTATAATTCAAAGAAAAAAAATACAATAATTACTAAACATATATGCTAGTTGTTTTGTTTATCCAAACTTGTTTTAGAAGAAGTGTACAATAGCATATATAGACATTAAAATATAGCACACAGTTCCTTTAAGTATTGGAACTCTTCAACTCCCACGAAAAAATCAAGTTCAAACTACGTTGCGTATGTCCTTAAACCCAAAATATGCAGTAAAAAAAGAGGGCACTGTTAAATAATAGCGATAATTCCTTTGGGATGTCCCTGTGTTTTATATTTATATATCTTGAATTAATTCTTTCAAAGTTTAAAATCAATTTGAATTCGAAATCAGGAAATTATTAACAATTTTTTGTACATTTAGATAAGATGGTCTTCAATATTTAGAAGAATTTAGTTTATTTTGTTATTGAATAAATAACTAACCCCCCCCCCTTTTAAAAAAAGAAACTGCTCAATAGATGTGCAGTCATTCATGTTTTCAACACGATTGTCTATGTAGAAAAAAGTTCGCACCATATAGTTATACATGTAGGACGAACAGTGCTTTTAAGTTTTTTTTAATTCACTTTCATAAAAAAGTTATCTGTCATGAATAACCTTAGTAAATTCATTACAGAATATATATCAAATATAACTGATAAGAGGACCACCTTTAATGGTTGGTACAGATTGTATATTCTTCCCTCCCGTTCTTTTCTTGACATTCTACCTGACGTATTTTCTCTCTGTTGTTATATGCAATCCAATCATGAATGTGAGAAAAAATGAATTTAAAATTGAATTGAAATAAAAAATGAACGATGTACAGCATTTACGTACTTACAGAAATGTACACCATAGGTATATCTCTAATAGTTCTGTAACAATTTTTCATTTCCCAGTAATTAAATAATCTCAACAAAGATGTTTGACCCCCTTCCCCCCTCCCACTTCTGCCTTCCTATACATTTTTTTTATTCTAAGATGTAAGGTTTATATGACTGCTTAGCTATGAAAACAGAGACAATAAGACATATATACAAACTGAGTGTAAATAAAGTGCTATATGTATATGTGTGACCGGATATTCACGACAGGGCCCTGGACCCCGCCCAGTAGTAAATGTCTGCAGTGGTCATCTGTATTCCATCACTTCCTTGTCCTTAACCTGAATCAGATGGGGTCATTCACAGAGAACGCTAGCTTGCCGTGCTTAACTATATATGGTCCTCCAATGCAATAACTGGATCGCCATATTTAATGGCGGTAAGCAGCGAAAGGGCAAAGAAAAACAATAACGAACGCAAATAAAATAGCTTTGAGCCACAAATAACACAGATGATGAAAGTATTCCGATCGTCTTAGCTAATTGAATGGGCTCAAAACCGTGTTGTATATTGTTCGGGGCTACATTTGTTATATACAATTTTCCATATTCGCTCCCATTAATGAATTTAGAGGAGGGAGGCTTGGGAGTTTGGAATATTCTGTTTTATATATCACTTAGAGATGATCCGTTTGTTAGAAGTTAATTACGAAAATAAATTGAAATACACATGTACATATGTAAATTGAGAATACCTGCCTAATGCAAAATATTGCCTATAGTATAAGGCCTATCTCGACTGGTTTCTCGACAGGCCCAGACTAATTAAACGAAATCTTTAATCTTTTCCTTTTTCAACACAAAGCTAAATTTGGAATGACTTCTTTCATAATTGTTCAGTCTTAACGTATATATTTTTACCATACTGAAAAAAATCACTTACCACTGAGAAACACTCTTGAATAAAGTGAAATGTCAGCACATTTCAAATAATTCGAGAGTATTAGATTGAATTACTCCATGACAGACGCGGATCCAGATTTTTTTTTCTCTCAGGGTTTGTCCACACGAGCGCTAACAAATGTGAGACTCGGAAATGGTGCAAGATATTTTTTTCCTTATTTTAGAAATTTAATAACTCTTAAATTCTAGGGAAGGAGGGTCCAGACCCCCGACAGCCTCCCCCCATCCGCGCATGCATGACATTATTTATGAATAAGCAGAATTTTAAAAAGATCTATCTGGAATTAATTACCTACAAGAATAGATTTAAGGTTATCAAGATATTTACAAAGTAAATGACGTGAACAATCAAAAGAAATGTAGTGAAGCAGCAAATAAAAATATCTAATTTAATCTGAAAGAGAAAGAATCTTTTTCGTGTGCTTAACAGTAGTAAACTCAGTACAATTAGTATGATCCTAAATAGACACAAAACCTCCAACTGATGAGTTGCCTCCCTTTTGATAGATCGGACTCATTAATCAGCGTGATGGACGCTTGGTGTGACCTAGGTCACGAGATTAAAGCGAGATTTCAATGTTTATTGTTTAAATACACATGTACTTTCTTGTTAAGTGTCAGCTAAATGATTCTATTGAGATTGATAAAGGGTTATGTGTCATTCTAAACTTTTTCTGAACTTTCATCAAAAAGGACGATTTACCGCGAAAAAAATTTAAGTTTAAATTGTTTGTGCATTTTTGTAATATTTTTATAGTGAAATGTTGTTTTTTTTTTATATCTGTGAATCTGATCCTTTTATAGGGCACAACAATCCCTTAATTGTCTATATAATATAGTTTTAATTGTATTTTTGTTTGTGGTTTTATATTTCATGAAATGAGGAATGGTGATTTTAATAAATGAAGACCAAACCCGATCATAATGCGTGTTATCGTTTAGAGGTGTATTGATACAATGCTTCATTTAAGTACTCTGAAGTCGATATTAAAAAAGATTCTGAACTTCCTTATTGACAATATCTAGATAGTCTATGGAGACCAAGTCTTCCAACAATCTGTTTAATTCATATAGGCACTCATTGTGGTCCGGTTTTACGCGAACTCGTATATATTTCTATGAAGTAGAATTTATTCAAACACTTCTTCATGAGAAGAAGAAAACTTTTGTTGTGGCCTTCAATTCAACATTTAGGTATACAGAAGACGATAATAGTTACTTCCATGTATATGTCGACTCGATATATCACAGTGAACTCGAAATAAAAGACACTGAGTCTGCAAAATCTGATTCATCTTAGGACGATTTACTGACTATAGATAAAAATGACTAACTACTTGTAATAACTAAACTGTATGACAAAGGGGATCACTTCAGCCTTCTCATAAATATGTAGCAATATTTTAACATCACCTGCATATTGTGTCAACGTCTCCCAACTGATTCGATACGCAATAGCATGCTCTGAATACGATTTTTAAACCAAGGCAAGCTACTGATAAACTAATTGATGTTACAAGAATTTAACTATTACGTTTAAAGATAGCTTTTCGCAAATTCTACAGTCTCTATAATGACCTTGATTGTAAATACGTCCTAGCACCGTAACCTATTTTTGGGGTCGTATTTTGTCTGTCATATTTCATACAATTCGTTAGGTCACATCTTTTGACTAATTTTGATTACAAAGTACTCCGTATACCCGATCAGTACATAGGGCTTACAGCGGGCGTGACCGGCCGACAGGGGATGCTTACTCCTCCTAAGCACCTGATCCCATCTCTGGAGTATCCAGGAGTCCGTGTTGTTGCCACGTTCATGATTTGTTTTGTTTACTGGATGTATGAGATTGACCACTGTTCGTTATCTTCACCTTTTAAATCACACAATGTTCACACTCAGGGAAATAAAACTTATCTGTGAACCTACGAATTTACTTCGCTATTTCCGTTATATCCGTATAAAGAATCGGTTAAAAATATGAATAGTAATTAGTAAACGTTTGCTTATGATCACGGAATATGTTCTAGAAGTATTTTAGATTCAAAACTTACCTTGGGGTAGTAATTTTTTTCTGATTAATTGAATTTCAAACATCATTCTTCCAAAATTCTTACATTTTGTGTTTTAAAAATTCCTTATAAAAGATGTAAATTTTGTTATTTTTATCCTCTTTGCAACACCAAATCAGTCATTTATATCTGTAAATTTGTTTCACAAGAGTTCGTTATAACAGTAAAAGTTTACAAGGAATTGTAAAAATCTTAAAACAAAAACTTGGCTGTATCAGTAATTTCGATATATTCATTTTGGTTTTAAACAATTTTTACTGTAATCAGTTGAGCCTGTATGACTGGAGTTCAGAATTTTATTTAATAATGATTTAAATAAAAAAATTAACTTATTTTATTTAAGTGTTTGCAATCATGTCTTTAAAAACATCCCTTAATTAGCATTGGCCATACTTCCACTCAATTGTAAATTAAACATTTGCGTAGGAAAGGCGTTATTCAATATATGTCATAACATAGTTTTTTAATTATGAATTCACACTTCAGGCTATTTACTAACAGAACTTGTTACATAAGAACAGTTTCTGCAAGAGCCTGTCAATCATAAACCGCAATCTTATATATAAAAAAGAAAATGCTGGAAGGAAAAAAATACGTCAGGTTGGAGGGACGTCTACAGTGTGTCCTTGTAAGATGTCAACAGTACGGTCTCAGCTTAAAAAAGGGAAAATGTTTTCAAAACAAATGCACAATTTCATTTAGACAATAATAATACGTCAGTATGCATTTTAATTTATAATTGAAAAATATATTTTGCAATACCTCTGGAAAAGGTCAATGCTCTCTGTTACGTTTTCATTACAAGAGTTCCATATTTATTAAATTAAAAGCAATATGTAAAACATGTCGTCTCCTATGTTAGAATAATATTGTAGAACTACAACAGTGTTCTCAATACTTTAAAAATTAAGTACGCATCGCAAAAACCGAACCCCTACTAATGTACATTATATCCAGCTACTGGATAATTTGACTGTTATGTATCTCACTTTAAGTATCATTTATTGCAGCCCGGAGGACCGGGCTGCTCTATACATATAAGTTTAAGTGTTGGTATATGGGGATTGAGGTGGGAGAAGTTATTCAGAATTGAAGGTTTTCTAAACATTAAAAAGATTGTTAATCAGAATGTTCTTTCCCTTTATAAATTACGAGATACACAATATATTTACTTCCATAAAGTGAATCTGTAAAAATATATATGTTTTTCATATTTAATATATAAAGTTGCTTATCATTTACTATCGAAAAAACGACAGGTCCCTTTTTTTAGAACATCGAATTTTACTTATCGCATAAAAACGTAAAAATGTACTTTGCACAGTTCGTGTTTTATATTCTTAATGTGAAAGATATTTTTGAAAATAGGTGATGCATGTGTCTGGTTTCAAATTATATTTTATGCAGCCAACATTTACTTGAGGAATTGATAAAGTTGAAAAGGGTATCGGTTTTGTTCGATTTTCATCCGACTATAAGTTTTCAAAATATTCTCGACTATCGTCTCCATCATTTAGACGCATGCCTTTTTCACACATATCGAAGCGGTTTGATGATAAAGACTCATTTCCATTGCATTTGTTTACTTTATTTATTTCCCGGGCGACAATTGATGGTTACATCAATGTTTTCTTGTATTCTATCTCGGACACATTAAAGAGACATCAAATGTGTTAGTCTAACATATTTTCTTATCTCCAACACAGAAGAGTTTCATTGGTATTTTTTTCGATAATATTTAATTAGGAAATTTAAATTGTAAACTAAAAAAAAAATAATAATAAACACTTGAAAACGTTCCCAGAAACTTTTTGGTAACAAAACTTTATAATTTTTTTAAAACTTTTTTCAAGAATTATATTGAACTGTACAATTACAATCTCCCATTTTTGACCACATTCTGTAGCTTTGATAACTATAAAGTGGTTACATTAAAGTTTTAGAATTCATAGAATTTAAAACTAACTATAACAAAGTTGTTTAACTAGACAGATATCACGTCTTTAGTGAGAGAGGCAGCTATTCAAGCAAAGATAGACGACTTTTGGAAGAAAAAGTTGTGTTATTTATCCATAAACTGAACAAATTCCATTCTTTTATTAATTTATCTTTCTTTCAGTTATATCACAATTTATACCATATTTAAGTCTCGTGATATATTTTAAAATAGTGGCACAGACAGATTTAATCGCTACTGCTTAAATTCAAGCTTTCTCTTCACAAATAACAACACCTACGACATTACCCCTTTTTATCAGTTATTAATGGTTGTTTTCTTTTTCAGGTGATGACACAAATTGTCCCTGTATTCCTTGTGATCTATAGCTGTCTGGCGGTCACCACTGGTCAGTGCCTTTCCTTTCTCTGATAAAGTGGACCACAATTATATCAATCCTTAATATAACGGATACTTTTTTTTCAGCGAATTCAAGAACTTCTGCAGAATTTTATCAAGACACAATAACACAAACTATACATATGATGTTTTAACTTTCAATGTTTTGGCTCTCACAATTTTGTTTGATTGTTTTACTAGTGATGGGGAATAGGTTTGAAGCACTATAACGTAATAGCTCAAACTACATGTTTGTTTAAGAATATCATTTAATATCGTATACCTATACAGGATATATTTTCTTTAAGAATCGTGTCATTTGCACTGTCATATTTGTGACTCTTTCTGTTTAAATCGTCAAATCAACATTCAGAGGGAAACCCATATTATCCAGTTTTGGGAAAGAGGGCAGGGTTAAACAAACACAAAGGATAGAGGTTACAGCTTAACCAGGAGTAATCTTTCATTCTAATTTTATCCACAATTTTACAGCTGTGTCAATCTACGAAAAATGTACGAATCACCAACAGTGTCCACTCAACGCTAGATGTCGCCCTTCAGGTTGCGACGGTTACACGTGTCGCTGTGACGTCAATTTCGTTTCCAATGACGAAAAATCAAGTTGTTTACCAGGTACATATGACTGTACATATATACATACTCACAAGATAAAACACGCAATTCTTTTAACTACATCAATATGTAATAAATGTACACGTATTTTAATATTGCAAATATATGTATCTCATTAGGTATTATTGGAATATTGTAAGCATATTATAAATAACATTGCAATATTGCATGCATATTCATTTTGCTATATTGCAAACATTTCATAATATATTTTTATATTGCAAACATGTTAATGTGCAAATTATGGCGCAGAGTAACTGCACATTCTTGAAAATTCTTTTAAATTTTCACCTTTTTCATTTCAAAGATGAAAATATGACAGCACATTCCCGACAATTCTATCAAAGACTTCCATTACACAATAACCATTTATGTGTTTCTTGTTCAGCCCGGCGTATTGGATACTCCTGTAACGCTACGGCCAGTAAATGTTTGTCCCACTTTGCTCTGTGTGAAGATAACGCTTGTCGTTGTAACGACCTGATGGACGTCACGCCGGACGGTCGCTGTAAGGACCCCGCGTACAGCGTCCTGGAGGAGTCCTGTCAGAACATGGAGTGTACCGGAGGGACAGTCTGTCAGGGGGGCACATGTGTCTGTCCCGGGCACCTGCGGCGACTGACGAATGAGGAGTTCTGGATCGACCCCATGAATACTGATACATGCATTGATAAAGACTTCTCAGTCCGTATGTAATGTCTTAAGATTTTCTAAACACCAGTGAAGTCTCGTTCTGAATTGTGTCACATCCCCGATAATATATGCAACCTTTCCCTGAAATACAAACCCACTTTGATGGTAGTGAAATATTTTATATAAATGAATTTTTCTTACTACATACAATGTTTGTATTAAAAGAATTGCTTGAATTGACAAACTGTCATTATTCCATGCACATGCACCTCTTTCTTATTTTACATAGATTTATGCAATGGAACACAAATAGAAATCCCAGAGGGCCTGGTAACTACACCAGTTCCCTCCACAACCTCGCTTTCAGTTTCCACCATGAATCCTGGTCTACCAGCTTCTCTAACCAATACTGTTCCCATGATTACTGACACAAAAATATACGAAACGTGTACTCAGCCCGAACAATGTCCAGCGCATGCACAGTGTCGTCCAAGGGGTTGTAAAGGCTATAGCTGTTTGTGTGATGAGGGATTCATGGCGACTCCGGACAGATCTTCTTGTGTAAAAGGTAAATAAAAACATAATTTTTTTTTGTATTTTAAAGCATATTTTACTGCATTTTTTTTAATGATATATGTCCTTTATTTGGTAAAATCCTATTATGTTACTATTATAGTCTATACCTTTATCTATTTTTCCGTAGCCTCCAAAATCGGCGAGCCCTGTAACACCAATACAAGTTGTATATCACCGTTTGCTTTCTGTGACGGCGTCTGTCGATGTCTAGATGTCTTCGTCCCCTCCTCAGACGGACGATGTAAATTGCCGGATATCAGTTTCGTGGGAGAGGAATGTAGTACTGACGAGTGTGAGTACCCGGCCAAATGCGTGGGCGGATCCTGTCAGTGTGTAGGGGAGTACAGAGCGATAACGGCCGAGGAGTTCTGGATAGACCCAACCAATATCTGGCAATGTGCCAAAAACGACACGTCATTAGGTATTTATACATATTGCAATTATAAACAACATGTGTTTGCGAAACACTACTGGCAGCTCAAGGCTAAAGATAATTTTTTTTAATGTAGGTCAAACTCCAAGGTCAAGGTCCTAAATGTTGATACACATAGAAGGATTTGTTACAAGGCATATACTTGTGAAATAAAACAGAGCCCTAGTAAAACACATTCAGAAAATATGGCCAAGGTTAAAATTTTTCTAAAAGAAGGTCATACTTCAAGGTCAATTTCATAAGGTCAAATATGAATGTAGTGGTACTAATTGTCTGGTCACAAGGAATGTATTTGTGAAATATGAAAGCCCTTAGTATAAGTAACCATTCAAAAGGTGTAGCCGAAGTAAAACTTTTTTCTTCAAATGTAGGTCAAACTCCAAGATCAAGGTATTAGATGAAGTCAAAACGTTGATTCCCAGAGATCACATGTTATATATGAAAGCCCTAGCACCAACAAATCAAAAGTAATGGGCAAGAATAAAATAGACAGACAGACTACACTCTCTATGCCCAAATCTTTGATTATGTGGGCATATTAAAATATAAATTCTTCTTGGGGATAAAAAAAACCTGATGCATCTTAAAAGTTTGGTCTTCAAATTATTCGGATAATTACAGAAATTTCTTGTTTTGGACTACTTCCTTAGCATAAACATTATTATTACGCTATTTTATGATGTTTAAAGGAATCTATAGAAAAAATACAGCTATGTTATAACCTCTGGTACAGCATCTTATTTTAGATTGAAATAATATATCCTTTCAAACAACGTCTGTTTAAAGATAACCATGTATAATAGTTTAATTGTACATTTTGTGTAGATACTTGTAAAGGCATGGAGGTTACGAAACCAACAGCAGCACAAGAAACAAAAGACAACGCAGACAAACACACGGACCCTGTAACAACAGAGCCAACAACCTCAACATCAAAGCCAATGTCAACCTCACCTACAATGTCAGAACTAGGTCAAAACACGCTGAAGGGACGTACAAAAGCAACAAGTTCCGGCTTAACACCAGTGATGCCGAGTTCCACGGCCTCACCGTCAGTGTCACCGGTGTCAACGGTAAAGCAAGGATCTACAGCATCTTCAGATATTCCCATTGGATCTTCTACACAGAATACAACTACAACTCCAGTCATCTCCTCTACATCATCAAATAAATCCCTTACAACAACATTATCAATTAAGACATCTTCTATTGTGACCGAAACAAAAATTGATTCTGTTTCAACTGTAGCTAATTTGAAAACTACTGAGATCACCTCTGCAGCTTTTATGACAATTAAACCTACGGTTGACCCTCGTCTGATGGAGACAACTACATTTGAATCCGGACAAAGCCAGACATTCAGACCAACAAGTGACGTATCAACAACGTTATCAGGAACAACTACAAGGAAATCAACGCCATCCAAAGAAACAACAATACGGACGAAATCACCAACAGAGGAAACGACCGGTCAGTTAATAAAGTCATATAGCACTACGAGAAAGGAATCTTTGTCGTTTGAAACAAAAAGTTCCTCTACAACTGAAATACCTGCAAAAGGTGACTCCGGCCCCTTCATACCTTCCAGAGATGATTCTATATCCGTGACCAATACTTCAAAAGCTACAACGTCCTCAGTCAGTTCCTATGAAGTAGATAAATCCTCTACGCCTCAAATTGAATCATCATCTGTTGTCTCACCCGAATCAAATAAATCAGCAGTTTCTACCACAGAAGAGAAGATCCCTTCTACAGAGAATGGGTTCTTAGAGGAGAATACTACTCTAGGTAGTACCCTCAAAACAATACATAAAAATTCTTCACATTTTCCCTTTGGACCAGGACCTCACGATCACGACCGTAAGTTATAATACTTTTATATCATACAGTTTTGTTTGTCAATTACCTCTCCTCTTTCAGATAATTTGTATTTGTCTATCAAGTCTGCAGTGTTTTCTGTATTATGTGTTGTCTAACTATCAGTATTTTCATTTATTGTGTTTGTTTATTATTAGCGACGATCGGTCCTGTCGCTCCTTTTCCGACGCCCTTGCTTTAATTATCTATTATTTAATGTTATCTTCTAGTTACATTTTATCCGTGTGAGTTTATATTGATGGTTCACCTTTCAGCTCATTGCATTTTCGGCTAAAAATTATATGTTTGATACTTTTCCATAATGATGGTAATGAAATGATCAGACTTTTTTTATATGTATTTACAGATCACAATTATATATTAACCTTTTGCAATCAATTCTATGGTAGATAGATGTATAGATTGTTCTATTTATAGATTACCTGTGTGAGTCACACTCTTTCATCTGCTCCGAGATCCTCTGTATCCCCTCAAACTGGGTCTGTGACGGAGAAAAGAACTGTCCTGACGGTAGAGACGAGTCGTCAACAATATGTAGTAAGTATACCGTCCCTATCCGTTTATCAGTCATAGAGGGCGGAGACGAGTCGTCAACAATATATAGTAAGTATACCGTCCCTATCCGTATATCAGTCATAGAGGGCGGAGACGAGTCGTCAACAATATGTAGTAAGTATACCGTCCCCATCCGTTTATCAGTCAGAGAGGGCAGAGACGAGTCGTCAACAATATGTAGTAAGTATCCCGTCCCTATCCGTATATCAGTCATAGAGGGCGGAGACGAGTCGACCACAATATGTAGTAAGTATCCCGTCCCCGTCCGTGCATCAGTCATAGAGGGCGGAGACGAGTCGTCAACAATATGTAGTAAGTATCCCGTCCCTATCCGTATATCAGTCAGAGAGGGGCGGAGATGAGTCATCCACCATACGTAGAAAGTATCCCGTCCCCATCATCATATCAGTCATAGAGGGCGGAGACGAGTCGTCAACAATATGTAGTAAGTATACCGTCCCCATCCGTTTATCAGTCAGAGAGGGGCGGAGGCGAGTGGTCCACCATATGTAGTAAGTAGCCTCCCCGTCCGTTTATCAGTCAGAGAGGGGCGGAGACGAGTCGTCCACCATATGTAGTGAGTATCCCGTCCCCGTCCGTATATCAGTCAGAGAGGGGCGGAGACGAGTCGTCCACCGTATGTAGTGAGTATCTCGTCCCCGTCCGTATATCAGTCAGAGAGGGGCGGAGACGAGTCGTCCACCATATGTAGTAAGTAGTTCGTCCTCAGGTGTACAAGTCATAGTAGGCGGAGACGAGTCGTTCATAAAATAAAGTAGCGAAGTAGGATGGGAGGGTAAGAATATACAAAGAACAAGGTACGGTTTCAATACAATTCTTGCCCTGTGTTTTTCTTAAAAATGAAAGTGATGTGAAAAATTAAAACTCGTGCTTTCTGAATCATTGAAATTCCATGCAGAAAGATCATAGAAATCATTTTTCTCTCATGACCTTCTAAATGCTAATTGTGACGTCATAAACTTGTGCAATTTCCCGTATTTTCTTAAAAAGTTGCAGAAGACACCAATTTTCAATGGAATTTTCTTTCAGAAAATATTGTCCACAGCCATCGCCCACAAAGATTTTGAGATATGTGATTTTTTAAAGAATTTTACACAACATATCCAAAAATTAAAGTGGGCGACGGCTGTGGACACTATTTTCTTAAAGAAAATAAACCTTGAAATGAGTCATTTTGAGGCATTTTCTGTTTAAAATAGAGAAATGAATCAAATTCATGATATCGTATATCCAGAATGGTACTCCTTCATGCCATATTCTTTCCTGATATTTCACAGTCATATACTCAACTAATATTTAAGCCAGTTTCAAAACTTTTTGAAAACATTACGTTTTTAGGGCACAATAAAGCTAAAACCGTACCTTCTTCTTATTGATAAATGTTGACCGGCCCTTTACTTAAGATGGTAATATATTTATCACTATGTGTCCATATTTTATTGATATATTTATAGACTTTTGGAAGATGCGAAGTAATTCATCTGTGATTTTTCTCTTATTTACGTATTTCTAGTTGTTAAGCTATTTCTATAAAGAAGGAGATGGTCACCGGAAGTTGTTAGTGTTAGAGGAAGTAGATATGATGTATAATTTTTTTGCTAGACATTTTTGCTAGATTTTTTAGTCTTCGACTTTCGCTAAATATTGATGTAAATGATGTTACTGTGTTTTTCCTTCATTAACAAATAACAAACTATTATAGACGAGGACCGTGTTTGTCCTGCGGATGAATACAAATGTTCTAACTTCCGGTGTATTCCGGGATCCTGGTTGTGTGATGGTGAGGTTGATTGTCCCCTCAGGGAGGACGAATCTTCAGCGGCCGGCTGTTGTAAGTATGAAAACATCGCAATCATTATCATCGCGTGAGTCTACAGAGCAGATATTATGATATTTGAAGCAATTTTCATCGTGTAAAGAGGGAGAGATGGTGTATATGCGTGTGTATTTAAAACAGAAGGTTTAGGCCTATCATAAAAAATTAACAAAAACGAAAGTATTTGTCAATTATCATCACAAACACCCCCATCCTATGAACTCTAAAAAAAGAAAGAATATTGCATCCTCGTTGAAAATTGATTTGAAGGAAAAAAGAAAAACTATTTTATATTTATATTATGATAAGAGCAAAACATAATGTACAAGTCGGTATTAAGTCTGATAACATGAGTTCTCTACAACAATTCTGGAATGAGTCTGCCTTTTCCTCTACAGTACAGAATGACTTTGACAGCGCCACGGAGACCGTGACCTTTGAGACAATTATTTCCAGTATGTTTAACTCCTCCACAATGATTCTGTTTAACGCCATCAATGACATCAGGGTGCACATTCCGAATTCTCTCAGGCCCGGTAATTCTGACGTCAGTAGTCGTAGTTTCGTAGTTGAAAAACTAGTTGTGCTTTGCGGCCCCTTTGTATGTTGCATTGTAGTTAAGTTCTGAGTTTAATTTGCTGTAACTAAAATTAGGATGTTTGTGATTGTTATTAGATAGTTGTACTGTCTTTTAATTTGTCGTACACGTACATTATTTGTTTTGTAAAGTCTCTACTTAAATCAGTCCCCACTCATTGTTTTAAAAAATATCCATCTAGATAATGTCCTTTTAAACTGATTGATGAACATAACATCTTTAGACAGGTTTGTTGTTTATATTTAGTTTTACTTTAGATCCCGATTTCCAGTTCCTTTTCCGGTCCTGTACCCTTTTAAAAAGTACTTGTTCTGAACAAATACTGTCCTAGATAAAGCCCCTGGTTTCGTGTTGAGTAGAGTTAAGCAATGAAAGAAAAACTGTTACTTGAATTATTCATGTGCTCAAATTTTGTTTGGAACTTGTTCGAAGATTAAATTGTGATGATTTTCGGTATTGAATCAGTAAAACTATGAAGTAGTCACCCATTTTCCGATAATTTGATAAAGAAATCCTTGTCCTTGATATTCTAATTAAATTCTGTTTCCAGTGACACCGAACACGACCTTGACCAATACCACACTGCTGCCGGAGGACGGGGGCCGGGAACCAGCTGAGAAGAGTTACACAGGAACAACGGGCCTGGGGAGTCTAGGTCAGTAATATAATGATTGCAAAAACTTGGGAGAATGGGTCAGTGAAACAAAAATAAATGCATAGGAAATTGATAGAACTATACCAGAGAGATACCGGGACATGGGATTGTGTATCAATAGAGCAATAATGACATATTTACACTTGGAGACTTGTTTCAAATGTATACTATGCTTGATCCACAAGACCTGATTATGTATTGTCTCTCAAAACACAACTGTCTTAGAAGCATGCGAACCAGCTGAACAGAATTTCATTTCAAGGACCGGCGCTCCATGTATTTAATACGGATATTGAAGAAATATGATGGGTTTAAATGAGAACTTCAAATATTTCATACACATTTAATGTATTTGACTGTTTATATCTTGTGTTTTAGAGAGTATCGCTATTGCTGCGGCCGCTGGACTAGTCTTGTTGATTAACATTATCGGGATCATTCTAGCTCTTACACGGAGAAAAAGGCGGTAAGCAGTTTATCCTATATTCAAAAATAAAAATGTTAAAATTGATCAATATTTGGAAGCAAATTAACGACAAGTATAGTAAAAAAGAATTAAAGATTTGAAAATTTTCATTATGGTCATGTTCAATGTCTTTTAGACAGTTTTAACCTCATTTTTCTTCACTTTGATCAATAAAGGTTATATCTATTAGGCTCTTAATTTTGGTTTATACTACAGCTGTAGAATAAGTTAACGCCCCATACTTGACAATTTCATTTTTCTTTTACTTTAGAATTTATAGTGACGAATCAGTTTTATAGTAAGAATATAAAAAAGAAAGCAATTATTCTTTGATATTTTAACAGCCCTGGTCGGAACATTCCAATGCCAACCAAAGATATGCTATCCTATTTTTAGGTAAATTTCAGGAATGTGCTCTTAGTTCTATTTATAGGAATATTCCTAGTCCAGTAGAGTGTTGGCATTGGCTTATTATGCTTCTTAAAGTCATAGAGTTAAATGTCCTGTAGATCAGTCGTCATCTTTTATACTTAGATTAGTTTCTACTCATATACGTTATATGTGTTACTTGAACTTTTTATTCATGTTTTATTTCTACAGAATAGTTCAACAAAAGAACTGAAATATCTATTTTAAAACCTGAAACTGGTTTCAAAACTCAATTATCTAATTTTCAGTATTCTTTCATAATTATATTTCCCAATCCTAAATTGTGACATTTCTAAGCAAAAAGTGCTCCTTTAATGCTAAATTAAGAATAAAAGGAATTTTTAAACAATTGACAAATCCGAGACGATTATTAAGAACTCCAGTTTTTTTGTATTAAATGTTCATAAGCATATCTCTGATATTTGTTTTGAATTATCTTTTAGTATACTAGTAATTGTGACAATATACATTATACAATGTATATCTTGTATTTTTTTTCAACGTTTAAAGGAACATTTGATTTATACAGTTTAACCTAATGTTTCATTCCAAAAACAAAACATATATTAAACCACCTCCTTTTAAAATCTAGATACAATTCATTTATTTATGTGATGTTGTGATATTTCAGAAAAATTGACAAAAATCCCCCAAGTATGATGAACACGTCGATGACGTCATCAGATGACACAGAGAGCGGGAATTTCAAAATCCCGCGCCCGAATGTCCTCTATCCTCCATACTATGTTAAAGAGGACTGGAACACGTGGAGCAGTAGCCATTTCACGCAGTATGCAGAACAAATGTACGCCCTGGACGAACACAGCGATTTCTACCCAGGGTCACTCAAAACACTCTAACGATCTGGTTAGTTAGAGTACAGTAATTATTGATTAATGGAGCATGTAAAATCTTTTTTGGTACGGTTTTCCCTGGAGAATGTTGGGACTGCAAACGAAACAAAATGATGGGATGATATCCTTACATTGACTCTGCGGAACATTTTATCTGAGATGAACAGAAAAGTGTGATTTGCTTGCTAAATTGCAGGATCAGAAGAAGAAAGAGTCATAGTCAAGACTGGTTTATCTAAATATTTTCTCCAACACAAGGGGCCTTATTGAAATTATTAATTGACATGGAAGCCAAATATATTTGGATTGATGTTACCTGAAAAATGTCTTAGATATACAAAAAAAATTTTGTCTCCTCTAAAATTTGAAAAAAAGAATTGTTACCTGTAAGAAGCAGGACACTTTATCTGAAAGACTTTCTTCAGTCATGAGGGAGAACCGTAATTTGTTGCCAGGGACGAATGGGAAATAGTAGTGATATAAAGTCTCATAAACAGATACGGTACTTTTTGGTTTACAGACCTCCCTAGTAAAAAGAAAAATGATAAGCTTATATTTCAGTACTTTGTTTCTCTATTTGTTGTCCAGAGTTGTGACCAAACTTTCTACAGATTTATGTGTTCATTTTAATGTGGAAATAACTTTTATCATTTTATTTTATATTGTTAAGAATAATATTTCCGCCGCTTTTAGACATTTAGAATTTTTTTTATATGTAACCTTTGAATTACATTACGTATGAGTGAGTTAACTGAGGTTATTGAAAAAAGTACAGGGTATGAAATGTTTACATGTTGGTGAAATTATTTTTACGAATTCCATAGATAAATTGTACATGTCTCATTTTGTTTAACATCCAAGGGATGATCTTTTATTGTATGTTTGTCTGTAGGTGTTAGTAACCTGTGGATCTAAGATCGGGTTTGGCCTGTTTTTGTTGTAGTAGAATGTTAATTAAATCGGGTTTGATATTTCATTTTGTTTGTAATAGAATGTTAATTTGATCAGGAATTGGCCAATGTAATATTCTTATAATCAATTATAAGACAAAATCCTTTTAATATAATGTAACTTGATATGAATCTCTTATTTGTTAGTACACAACCTAATATATTAAGGGTTACGCATTATTTTTTTCTTGTTTTAAATTATTACGCTACAGAGGCATACATTGTATATTTATTATTATAAAAATAAAAAGTAATTCATTTTACTATGAAATGTTAATAATATTTTGGTTTCAATGGCAAGACTTGGTTCCATTTATTTTTTGGTCGGACCATGAAGAATTCATGTCAACAGAGCTGCAGTCTATTAAGAGAATCTGAGAAATTCGCATAGTATTTTGAATACTTGTATCTTGAATGATTAGTATAAAATGTATAAATAATAGAATAATTTTAACAAAGTTGTACAACTCACTGTTAAACGGTGTAAAAGGAAACAGTGGATCAACATCTATTTTCTGTTTTTACACGAGTATCTTTGAAAATGATACGACCTTTTTAAGTAGGACAGCTAAGACTCTTCTCCCTACCCACCTCCCCACCCCCACTCTTGTAGAACTCCAGGACGCGACTATTTTGATAACTAATATTTAATAAACTTAATTGTCATGTACATGTATACCATAGGAATAAAATCTAATATAATCATCCCATACAAAAAATACCCCTCTGAAATATAGTGGGGTATTTTTTTTGTTATGGAACGACCATTTCGGGTGTTTTCCGATTTTTTCTTTGGGGGGGGGGGGTATACATGACAGAAAGTGAAATAAAAATATTTTATAAAAAAAAGACCAAAAGACCCTAGGGTTTGAACGAATGGTCCAACTTCTCAAACGTTATATAATGGGCAAGATCAAATGATCGATGTCTGCTAAAAAGAACCAAATGAAAATAATTTGAACCCACCCAATTAGATGTCCGTCATTAAATGATATGAATGATTCTTTTTATGAATGAACTAAAAAAATTATTACTCATTTTCAGTGAAAAAAAGTGTTATTTGATACAGAGTCATCAAACATTCATCACATTTAGTAGGGGATTGGGGTAGGGTGGGTGTTCTTAATGAAAACTATGTGATTTTAGTATTTTCATGTCCCTACTGTTATTTGACAAGGTTCAAGTATTTACTTAACAACCATGATTAAAACTGCTGCATTGGAATGAATTTCTAACATTGTATCCGCCAAGAGTTTGGAAGATTAATATATTTTTGCAAGTGTTTGTTTGTCTGTATGTGTTCTGACTTCACAATTGTATCCACAGAACTTTCCAACGACAGTGTTTGGTATAATATGCTTTAGGAGCTTAGAAAAATATTGCTGCAGGATTCAATGAAAGATTTACTCACTATTACACTTCAATGGCAAAATCGGTGAAGAGAAGTTTCCTCTCTGAGCACCGTCTAGCTGACATGTCCGAAATCTCACAAAAAGGACACATACAGCATGTTATGGGTGGAGCTTCAGTATTTCAAAATTATCTGATTACTACAAACTGACTTTTATTCGTGACAAAGAGCTAGGTTCACTTTGACCATAAAATAGCCCTGTCCACATACCAATTTACTGACCAAGTCCCAATATCACATTTCAAACATCAAAGTAGAGACTTGGTGCTTTCATTTATAATACTAAAAAGTTTCCACTGAGAGTCCAGGTATTGAAATATAGGCTTTCTGAAATTACAATGTTCTTGAATTTTGAAGAAAATTGGTGTTTTTGAGAACAATCAACAGAGAAATAAAATATGAGCCAACTCCGCCATCCAAAAAATAAAACATAGCTTACAATCTTCCAACACAATACTATCATTATATTATTAAACATTTTAGATCGGAGGTTGGGGTCTATGTAAAATATTGAAAAAAGCTTAAATTTTTTGCCATTTTTGAAGAAATTGTAAGGATTTGGGGTTACTGACGCAATTCATGATGGCATGATATACGAACTAGCTAGAAAATCACGTCATTCTAATAGGTATGCAGTCAGCAAGGGTTCAAGTGAAATCAAATGTATTTCAAATAAATACATTTTTTGCATTTTTGCATTTTTGATTTTTCAGAAATTCACAGGGCCAAAAAGGCATTATGTTAATCTTGTTCTTTTATGAGTGTATTTTTAATTTGAAATCTATCCGCGACGCTAATTATCGTGACCAAGAAAATATTCTACACAAATGCACAATGAAATAAATAGTTCACAGCGAGAAATTCGCGATTAATTCAAGGTCGTGAACGCCCTAACAAAAAATACTATAGTTAACTATAGTTTACTATAGCAAATCAAAGTGTCAAAGTGATCACTGTAGTAAATCAAAGTTTTCAAAGATCACTATAGTGTCAGTGGTCACTAAAGTAAATCAAAGTTTTCAAAGATCACTATAGTGTCAGTGGTCACTAAAGTAAATCAAAGTTTTCAAAGATCACTATAGTGTCAGTGGTCACTAAAGTAAATCAAAGTTTTCAAAGATCACTATAGTGTCAAAGTGATCACTATAGTGAATTTAAGTTTTCAAAGTGATCACTAAAGTGTCATAGTTATCACTATAGTAAATCAAAGTTATCACTATAGTAACTCAAAGTTTTCACCATAGTAAATCAAAGTTTTCATAGTGATCACTATAGTAAATCAAAGTGTCAAAGTTATCACTATAGTAAATCAAAGTGTCAAAGTTATCACTATAGTAAATCAAAGTTTTCACCATAGTAAATCAAAGTTTTCACCATAGTAAATCAAAGTTTTCAAAGTTTTCACCATAGTAAATCAAAGTTTTCAAAGTGATCACTATAGTAAATCAAAGTGTCAAAGTTATCACTATAGTAAATCAAAGTGTCAAAGTTATCACTATAGTAAATCAAAGTTTTCACCATAGTAAATCAAAGTTTTCACCATAGTAAATCAAAGTTTTCAAAGTTTTCACCATAGTAAATCAAAGTTTTCACCATAGTAAATCAAAGTTTTCATAGTGATCACTATAGTAAATCAAAGTGTCAAAGTTATCACTATAGTAAATCAAAGTGTCAAAGTCATCACTATAGTAAATCAAAGTTTTCATAGTGTCAAAGTTATCACTATAGTTAAATATAGTATTTTTTTTTTTGTTAGGGAGGTTTGGATATTTCTCGTATGCAAATAAAAGTTAAAAAAAAAACTAGTCATATCATCTCACAACACAGTTATATGTGACAATGCATTTTAAAACAGCCCCTGTCTGAAAATAAAAGTTGTCAAGGTGTACCGAATATCTGTATGAAAATCAAACCCTTTCTCCGCCGCGAAGTCCACTCTAATGTTAATTCAGTTCAATAAAACAAGATTAAAAAGTTTTTCGGATGTTAATTATATAACTTTCAGACATGCAGTCTTATGACAAGTATCTCTAATAATATACATGTATCTCATACACGGGTTAATAGAAACTGAGCAAGGAATATGAAGCGAACACGTATGGATGGCATAATTAACATAGAACATCACATTGGTGGAATACTGAAGATGATAGCAGCCATTCTAAACAAATAATTAAAATTTAAAAAATAAATAAATATTAAGCATTAAAATATTATGCTGAAGTACTATTAAAAAAGAATTAGCCCTTTTTTCTACCTACCTTGGAAGTATATAGTGTTAGATTGACTAATACATTACAATGACTAGTGAATGATTTAAAATGCACCATTAGCCAAAACAATCTCAAACCAAAGTGTATAATTTCTAAAACAACATGAACAATGTAACACCTGTCGTAATTATTTCCTCCGAAAAAAAAGATCTTTTACTGTTCAATGGAGGGAAACTTGTGCAATAGTAAGCTTTTGAAGTGAGTTGGATGTTATGATAGAGAGCTTAATAATGCAGGTAAAATACACCGGAAATAAACAGCTAGCTGTAGCTTATAACAACAAAACAACTGTAGTGACATATCTGACTAACCATTATATCATATGCTTGTTGTGTCATTCAAAAACAATTCTAGTATGATCACTAAGATGTACTGAACACATGCTGCAGAAAAAAAAAAACAAAACTTTTGAATGCAAATTGAAAGTAAAAGCAAAATCACACAGAAACGGACGGAAGGAGACAAACTATGGGGCTGTAAAACAATAAATATATCAGAAACAGGTTGGCAGGAGGATTGAACACATTACATAATTATATAATCTACTGAAATATATATAAACAAGTACTGAAATCGTGTATATCTATAGACGATAAGCATAAGAAAAAAAAAAAAAAAAAAAAAAAAAAAAAAAAAAAAAAAAAAAAAACGTACTGTCTCCAAATAATTACTTTTCATAATGATTATTCGACAATCAGGCAAAAGGCAGAAACTAAGATAATACATGTATATGTAAGGGTTAAAAGCATAATAATTTTTTTTAAAAATCAATACAAATCTTTTAGCTATTGTACTAAAATCTACCGGAAAAACATATTTTGTCCCGAATTGAATCTCTTCGGTGAGGATAATGTTTGAACCTCACTTTCATTTTCGTTTTCCCACGGCGGGACCTCGGCGAAGCTCTTCCGCTTTGGTGAAGTCGTTGGGGTCAAAGTAAGGTCAAAGTTGAACACACGGCGCAGCGTCGGAGAGGACGGAAATTGCCTAGAAACACAGAATTTGTACAGTACACTAGATTCACATTTACAGGGTTAAACTGTATTAGAATTCTAGAAATCTATTTATATCTATTTTTTGCAGGATTCGAAAAGAAATTAATAGTAATCAGAGTTAGTATGTTCTTGGAAGCAATTGTGTTTTCTAGTGCTATCAATTTTAAAATCACTTACAATTCCTGAAAGGCTCTGCGTGGAGACTGTTCACCGGAAACTGGATAGGAAAATTTCCTGTCACGGGGAGAGTACGGCGAGCATGCGTTCCCAGGACTATTGGACGGCGAATGAACATGTTGTGTGGGTTCCGAGCTACTGCGCATGTGTACCACGGCAAGGTTTTTCATGGTTTTCCTTCTGTAAGGCGAAGATACGTTTTCTTTAGAGCTACTTCCGATTGACATGATCTCGGTGTCGCTTTTGGAGAAAGAGGAGTCGAGGACGGATTCAGCTGAAAAAAAAACAATGAAAAATAAATGACATTAAACTAGTAGATTCCTTTACTTCGGTATCCCGATGTCATGAATACCATATCAGCTGGACGGGACCATGTTTTGTTTATGTCTCATATCTTCATACATGTGTAAATGATAAATGACATTCTACTAGTGCAGTTTAGTTTTCTCGAACACTGCTATCACAAATATCATCGTCCCTGAATATTTTCTGTATGTATTTAAGATATATAATATAATTAATACATCACTGGTCAAATACAGTAAATGTTTTCTTTGCATTGCACGTTTATAAAGAAAACAAAACAAAAAAAATATAGAAATCAATGAAAAAAGGGCCATTCAAAACCTTCATACCAAGTCTTTTTCTACATCGCAAATACTGTTCCTTTGGAATATCCACACGTAGTGTAACATCATAAGCGTTGTGCCTCACCCTCACACTTTCCGTCAAGAAGCTGTCGTTCACCAATCTCGACAAATCTCCAGTGACGAACATCCGCCATAACGCGTCTAGTGACGTCACTGACGGACAGGAAATGACGAAGACAACACTTCCAGGGTAGATGTGTTCTATCGTTCTGCCATGTTTGCATATGGCTTTAATGGCGCTGAGAATTTTCATGGCGTCTAGAATTCTGTTATTTGTCTGACATAGCTCCCCTTGAAACCTTTGAAAGGAACTAGGTGAGTCGTCACCTCGACGAATTTTTGCGTAAGCGTCTACAGCCATCTGTAAGATTTCTTGTTCCACAGACGCACATTTACAGTTCCGCCCAGGCGCATGCTCTAAAGACTGCAACATTTCCGTCACGTGATCTGATTCTTCGGCAATTGCTTCACACGTTATTCTCATTTCTACTTGATCTGCTCAAAAGAAAACAATTGCTTAAGCAAATTGTCTAGTCTTTAAAAACATAATATTTCTGGAACCAAATAGTCAGAAAAACTGTCTAAGGCTTGAAAAGAACAGGTTTATATGACTGGCAACATTTTTTCTAAAATGTTCTCTTCTCAAACTTTGAACGACGTGAAGGAAGTGGCAAGCAGTATGCCGAACTATCATAACCACATAAAGGAAATAACAGGACTTTTACTCGAAAAACTCAAGAACGAGCTAATTAAAAGGTAAAGGATTCATTACTGTTTCAAAGTTGTCTAGAATTATTGCAAACATAATGAAAAAAAAATATTTTACACAATTTAAATTTTATAATTTGTTTCCTAAATGAGTGCAATGAAGAAGAAAAAAAGTATTTAGAATAAATCATGTCATACGACAAGCTGTCATGCCTTAGCAAACAAAGACGTCTGTGTGCGTAAAATGGGACTTTGATGGATGCCTCTGCTGAAACTCATCTCGATAAAGCATCATAATTGTACGGTAACAATGGGTCTAGTAAAAACTTATTGCATCAGATTGCTGGAAACTTTTATGAAGTACCGTGGAAAACAGTTTACTTTTACTGTGTTCTTGACTTTTTCTTCTATTCACTTTCAGTACTTTGATTTTTTTTTAATTTTCTTACCTCTTTTACGCTTACGTGGACTACCTTGTGCCCACGGTGATGAACTTTGACCTGAACCAGTAGCAAGACATGGTGATGATGACGGAGCTGGCATTCTGGCTGAGGGTGAAGGTTGCCGTTGCCTTGGCGATGCTGGTGGTGGAAGGAATTGTTGAACGGGACTTTTTTCTTGTCTGTGTTTACAGAAAGCGGAGTTACATCCTGTCGTAGCACAGCCATCTACTCTGTCGCCATATTGGGCTCGGCCTCTGTCAGTGCCGGCCGTACTGTCATAAGTCTGATACCGAGAGGACGACATTGTCCGCAGCTCATCTATTATCCAGCGAGCAAATTCCTCCGGATTTTCTTGTTGTAGCGATGCATGTGCACAGCGGGATCCTAAATGTTAACCGTAAATCGTGAGTTGTTTGAATAATCAGGAATTAGAATTTGTACTTCGTATAATATGATTTACGTATGTAAATTTCTTCTCTCAATTAATTACGAAACGTTAAGGTAAATGCATGGATCTAAAACAATTATTTAGAAGACAGGAATTCTATGTTCAGTATTGTGTATATTAGACTACATGTATAAATACGCTATGATATGATAACTGATAAACATAGATATGAAATACGTGAGATCAGTTGGTATACCTTCGCTGGCTGATGACTGAGGAGAAAACAGCTGTCTTTTTGCATGTTGTTTTTTCATCAACTCAAGATGACTCTTCATGAAGGAATTCATCCGCCGGAGTTCAGCATTAATTCGGGCATGATCCGTCACGTGATCAAATGAGTCCGGTGGTGATTCTTCCGAAGACATGGCATTTGACGGAAAAATTCCATGAACAAGTCTCTCTTCACGTAACATCGCTTTTTGGCTTGGTGGGGTAAAGGTTGGGTCGGACACACATCGTTTATACTCACGCAGTATCTCCTGAATTTCCTCCGTCTCCGATTTAGATGGGGAGTGTTCGATATCACTGAAACTCCTCAGTGCTTTGTGTCTTAGATACGTACCCAGAGATTTCTGTTTATAATCCGGGGGAGAGGCACCACTTCCAAAAACACTATCACTGCTAACATCATCAAGACTAGAAGACTTCATATACTCCAGAACGTTTTTATCCATATTTTTGCTTCTGCTTTGGAAAGGAGGATTGTTACTTACGATCCGGGGGCTGAATGGTATTGGGTCGGATACGCTTGGTACACTAGGGAAAACAAACCCTTTCTCTGTCACCATAAGGTTGTTTGATTTGGCTGTAGTAGTTGCTGTGTTGTTAGGTTCACTCCCGCGCCCTCTGAATCCGCCCATCATCTCCTGGTGGAAATCTTTAGAAGAAAATGAGGCAGTTCTTTCATTCATCGTGTTTCCGGTTTTGGGTGTGCTTGTGGAGATAGTTATATTCTCTTTGGGTTGTTGATCTTGGATTACTTTCGATGCCGGAATAAAATCTTCTTCCGAGTTTGGATTAGGATCGTCTGGATTTAACACCCACTGTAAAGTCGCCGTGTAGGGTTTTGGAGAAATCTTGCTTTTGCAGGGGCTGCACAGGTTGAGGGGCTCTAAGTCTACTTGTTTTTGCTGTGAAATTCCGCCTCCTTTCTCATCAGCTTGTGGAGGATGCCTTGCTGAAGAAATTGTCTGTCGTTTTGTTGGCCCCTTGTTTGAGAACTTGATATCAGAAGAGTCCGAACTCTCTGTAGAAATTTGACGCTTTAACCGGAAGTTAGAGGGGTCCTGTAACGGGAAAGGCTGCGCGCTGGAGACGGAAACCTCGGTAAAGGACGGACGATTTGCATTTACTACAAAACAATACAAAAATCTGGATTAAAAAGTCATTTAAAATTCTGTTCTTCAATTGAGATATGTAAGTAATTCACATTTTTTCTTTAGATTTATGCTAACACTGTACTCAGAGAGAGAGAGAGAGAGAGAGAGAGAGAGAGAGAGAGACTTACCATTACTGAGTTGATGGACTATATTCCAGATGTAACCTTTCTGTTCGTCAGTCAGTTCTGTTGTGGTTGGGATAAAGAACCCAGGAGACGGAGGTGGGTTATAAGGAAAACCAATCTGTTGTCCTTCCCCAATAGATCCGCCCCTGGATTCACCTGAAATAGGGGCGTTTCCATAGCTGGTGTCAATCTGAAGTGGGGACAGACGTTTTGTCTGGGGAGACGGAGGTATAAGTAGACCCGTGTATCTTTTCTGTAACTCCTACAAAAGAGAAAACTATTTTATTTGAATTTTACATCAACGATGCTTTTTCAAATTCTTATTAGCCGTCACGGTAGCTCAGTCAGCAGAGCGCTCGCTCCGTGATCGGAAGGTCAAATGTTCGAATCATGGCCGTGACTGACCTAAGTCGATAAAAAATAGGTAGCAACTGTTCCTTCCCCAAGCGCTCGGAATTTTTAAGTGAAAGTTGCGGGTCTTTCGGATGAGACCTTAAAAACCAAGGACCCGTGCCCCGTGTCACGACAAGCGTTTGCACGATAATTACCCTCACTGCTCAATGGCCCGAGTGCCGAATAAAGATCAAAATTTTAAGCCCATCACCGGTATGTGGTGTCTCTATATGAGTGAAAAATTCTCGAACGGGACGTAAAACAACAGACAATCAATCAATTTCTTATTAAATGTTGGTAAATAAATAAATAAATATATATATAATCAGCCCATAATCAAACCTGTTTATCAACTAAGGATGAATGTTTCCGGTCCTTGTGAGGAGTTCCGGGTGGAGTGGGCGGGGAATACGGCTCACTTCTACTTCCGGTTTGTCTATACATGTCTGAAATATAGTGATAAAAACTCTTCTTTAAATTCATTAAAAATGTTATTCTATAATATATAGTTTGTAAAAAAAAATTCAGTCTCTTTTAATTCAAAAATTGCAAAGATACACATTTAAATAGCGCCTGGATGGAGATTTGTGCCATTTTTATGGGCCGGCACGAGCTAGCTCATTATCAGAAAAAATGGAGAAAAAAGTCGCATGAATAAACCTGGAGCTGTTGTTGTTCTTTCGATGAGTGCATGAATTCAACATCACTTCATTACTTCGTTATTAAAAAGGAAATTATCAGACACCCACGGAATCTTTTAACTGTTTAGTAGTTACTGTACTTAATCATATGTACGCATCCCTGTGGAAGAATAAGTAGCCTCTATTTCAAAGCATTTGTTACAAAATTTATGCCCAATTGACAATTTTTGCATAAACAAATCTTTTATAGAAAGATTCCTTTGCCTATATAAAATCTTTATGATAATGTGCTACAAAACCGCCGGAACAAACACTGTTTTCTGGAGAGCTGGTGTCTTGTTTCAAAGTGATAACCAGGCTGTTTCTCTTTTCTATGGTGGAATATTTCAGCCCCCACCTCCCACCCCACCTCTATATACAAGGTAAATTATGTCAACTTGAGAGAAAAGTAACGTCAACATGCAAAATAATTGTCTGCATGCAAAATAATTATGTTGACATGTAAGTTACCAATCTGTTTTAGAGAATCTGATTTTGATACGTGTAAATTTATTTACTTACGCCAGTATCTGACATCATACATGCAAGATGCAACACAATTATGTATACATGCAACTTATTTATGTCAACATGTAACATAATTATGCTGATAAATGTGACTTAATTATGTCAAAATGCGAGTTAATTATGGCAACATGTTTTGTATAAAGTCGAATGTTGACGAAAATATCTCGTATTTTGACATAATTAAGTCCAATGTTAGCATAATTATCTCGCTTGTTACCATAGATAAGTTGCATGTCTACATAATAATCTCGCATATGGACATTAGTCGCAGCTCTACATAATTATACCGCATATTGACATAACTAAGTCGCATGTCCTCATAATTATATTGCATGTATACATAAATAAATCGCATGTGTACATAATTAAATCGCATGTTGTTATAAATAAGTTGCATATGTCAACAGAATTATGTTGCATCTTGTATGTATGATGTCGGATACTAGCGTAAGTAAGTACATGTATGTTAAGCCATATTAATATCAGATCTAGATTCTCTATAAAGATTGGTAACTTGCTTGACAACATAATTATTATGCATGTAGACATAATTATCTTGCATGTTGATATTCTTTTCTCGCATGTTGACACAATTTATCTTGTATGTAGGGGGCAGAAATTTGACACCATACTTGTCTCTATTTCTGAAAAGAATAATAGAGTTATGCGAGTATGTTTTTCCTGACTCGTAGAGAAGAATATAGCTTCTTAAATTGTAAGTTACAAAGTGAAACTTCAATCATGTCAAACCAGTCTTAGTGAATGATTTTAATACATATCTAAAAAGCTTGATTGAGTTTTTTTTCCTTCTTTCTGGATTAAAATAATCCTTAATATTGTTCAGAAAATTATTTTGGGAAAAAAAAGTAATCAAATCATATTTTAAAACTTGTATTTAAATTCAAAAGTTGAAATATGACGTATCTATGTCTGGGGGAATTCCAATATTTTTTTTCTCTCCGATTGTCAAACAAATAGAGAAATATGTGTTTAAATTTTAAATCTCTCCTTCAATTGAAGTTTTTATCAAATGAGAATCTTTCAATTGAAATGTAAACGCTAACATCCGGTGTATTTTCGTGGGTCGAGGGATTTTAAATCTTGTACCGAGGTGATATCGGGGGGTTATAAGGGGAGTTTTATTTCATTGCTAGAACACAAATTGATTTTTATCACACCAGAAGTTTGTGTCATTTAAATAAATGGGTGTTAAATTTACGATCGTTTATTTTTTATTCTTTCGATTGTATAAAAAGTAAGTACTATCTGCTGAGTACTATACTATAATGAAATAATGAACTGTCGATTTAGGGTCACCAGTTTGATTAAGAGAAGTTCCCCCACCCTTAAGAGAAAAATAAAATCTGCCTGTCATCGGTTGCTAAGGTAATCTTTTATCCAAAGGAAGAAAAAAAGAGCATGAATCTTAAATTCAATGTTAGAAAAAAAAAACTTTTTTTCTCCATAACTTTATATCCCTTATAAATGTACGACGACAGATATAATTGGTGTTGAAATAATGATATTAACTTAAAGCTGTATGTGTACTGCCATTTAACGTTTTATAGAAGAAAAAATAATAATAATGTCTCTCCGATGAAAATTCTGAATTTATTTAATCTCTTTTTAAAGGTTTAATTTGGTGACAAATACTGATCCTGTTTTTATAAGGTAACTGTGTACAATTATTACCAAAATTTATAATGTATGTTCTACTCAATCGAAATAATCTCTGCTCTTCCAAATTGCTTAAAATATGTACCCCTTGTACCATTTATATGTTTTTGGAGAGAGAATGAATGAATAAATGAATGAATTTTTATCAAGTTTTATCAATAGATATGCAGTAATATCTTTCCGAAATTCTGACTTTACAATGTATATCTCATTATTTTACTTGGCGATAATTTCATATTTTGAATGCATTACTTTTTAAAATGATCACTGAATATTTTATCTTCATAATGGGTTTTATTGCACATCGTTGAAACATTTTCATAACCAGTATATCACGACCGACTTAAGCTCTGTGATGCCTGATTTCTAATTTAGCTCCTGAAAGAAAAATGTTTCAAAAGAAAGTCGTTATGTAAAACGTTCTGAATATTAATCATCAAAATTAACCGAATTATAAAGTGATTTCACTATGTACGTCTGTAGTATTCAAAATTCTGATTTTATTTTACACCTTGGAATTTTCATTTTGTCGTGTGTAAAAATAAAATTATACTTTAGTTTTACATGCTACAGGTAAAAGTTCCCTAATTGTATATATATCTGCTTCACACATGTGCAGCTGATAGAAGTTATTATAATAAATTCGAATTCGGGCTGAGTGGTTGAGTGCAATGTACATTCGATATTTAATTTTTTTAAGTCTGTGTGTGTGTGTGTGTGTGTGTGTGAGGGTGCGTGCGTGAAAGGTGTCAAACGGGGAAAATCGTTTGTTTACACACCTTCCAACCGGGGACAACCTCCCAACCGGGGACGTCCCCGGTTGTCTTCGATTAAAATTAGCGCCAAATTCGAAATCAGGGATGTCTAATTACCCCAAAAAGCCGAAAAGATCCATTTTTCAACATGTTGAAAAAATGTCCCCGGTTAGTTAGGATTAAAACATGTGTGTGAGTGTGAACTTTTCACAATTACCGAGGATTCTTATTTGGGGGTTACAAACGTGTCCCCGTTTGTATAGTGAAAAACTTGTCACGTGACTTTTCTGAAACAAACATTACATTGAGATCTCATTTTTGCCATTCATATCCGTATTTTTTTTTTTTTTTTGAGAGAGAGAATTTAGATATATAATTTATCCTTACTCGTGTATGAACATCAGTCCTTCTGACAAACGTTCATGTCAATGGAACATCTGTGTTACAGACTTATGATCGACTTAGCATTTACATGTATGCTTGTGACGTATGCTTTTGTTACTGAATGTTTTTAGTTTATCATCGTAATATACTCATTTTGCGGTTTACAGTTTGGCAATTCTGTATTCGATTGTCTTTTTTATCTTTTTTTAATTCATTTATTTATTTATTTATTTATTTATTTATTTATTTATTTATTTATTTATTTATTGGGAGAACATTTTAAAGATTTCGGCTGCAATTAACACACAAAAGACCGCATAATTTGCTTTGAATCGATACATAATATTTTTTTTTGCTAAAAGATATCAATGAGAGTAGTCTTAATTTTTACAAATAAGTCAAACACATGAACGTTTAATTTAAATATTTTAAACATTAAAGATGAATTATACGAAATTGCTCTTTATGATTTTTTTCTATATAAAGGAGATGGGCGAACAAGGCGTGTAGAATGCCTATTGCATTAGATACATAAAAATCATATCAAATTTGTGAATTAAATATTAAGAATAAAGTCCTCATAATTGTAATTTTTAAATTTTGACAAGCAAAACGTATTTAATAAAAACGTTATTCTATTACCAGTACTAATATAAAATACCGAGTATCACTTTCTTTTGAGACTTACACGCTAAACGCTAGACTTTATAATTCTGGACGAATAATGACATTTAAATCATGTTTGTGATATGAACATTGACTAAATGGAATTGAAGTATTTCTTGGAAAGATACTAACGTTTTGTCATAAAAGTATTTTTCAGGTATAGCTGATCGATGTTTCGTTAACAAAAAAAAAAGTATATATTTACGCAAGGCCATTGAGCAGTTAGGGATCTTTTTCATGCCAGCACCTACTGCGACACAAAGCCTCGGTTAACATGGTCTCATCCAAAGGACCGGTCTCAACGTCCCTCAGCGGGATTCGAACCTGCGACGTAAGGATCAACTTCTTACCCCGCCCCCAGACTCTAAAGCAAACACTCTAAAACTCTCCAACCACCACTGCGCCACGCCAGAAACTCGGAATAAATAGGCAATATGGGAGATGGAACTTTGATGTGATTGCAGGCAAAGTAAATCAAATTATCTAGGTAACCTTTCTAAAGTCGCCCGCATGGCCTTACGGTTCAAATGCCACTGCAGGACATGGAGACCGGTCCTTAGGATGAGACCGCATAAACCGAGGCCTGTCGCAGTATATGCTGACACCAAAAGGATCCCTAACTGCTCAATGGCATAGTATAAGTCCAAATTTCCACCCCTACACCAGCAAATGGTGGCGTCTCAATATTCGGAAGGGACGTTATATAATAATAAACAAACAGGCAAGCAAAACTATCCTATAAATTGATATCGAT